CTCTTGCTCTCTCGGACTCAGCTCCAATCCCGTCCGTCTCGATCCCCCGATGGGGAACCCGATCGTGAAGACCCTCATCTGGTTGGGGACAGGAGTCTTGGGGATGCCTGGCTCCCACTCCAGCTGCTCCCAGATCCTGCTATAGCCCCAGTTGGGGTCAGGAATCTGTTCCTTAGAGCGGTCATCCTCCTCCAGCTGCACGATTAACTCTGCTTTGGTGAACTTTCCAAAGTCAACCCTCTCTTTCTGCACAGGGTTACAATGTCCTTCTTAAGGAGACAGTGACAGGCCGTCACTCCGCTCTTCCCAAGTTGTTGTGGACTCACAGGCCCGTGTGTTCTCAGCTCCCCACGGTTTCCAGGGAGAACCCCTAGTGTGCCAGCCCTTCTCAAGGTCACCACCTCTTTGCCAGGGTCGAGCTGCAGACTCCTCCGCCCCTTGGACTGCTCGCTGCAATCCCCAGGGGAACCCTGTTACTGCAAAAGTCCTTCTCTCTCCCCGGGCCAAGCTGCAGGCTCCTCCGCCCCTGAGATTGCTCACTGCAGTCCCCAGGGGGACCCCATTATTGCACAGTCCTTCTCGCTGGTCACACACTCCCAGGGGTTAACCGCCCCCCGAAACCGCTCCTCTCTGAGTCTTCAGCACGTCTGGTCCTCGTCAATCCCCCTGCGTGTTACTGCTCCCCAGTCACTTACTGCAGGAAGCGCCGTCCACGGGGTACAGTACATCCCACCGCTGCCACCAGTTGTCACGGAGTCCCTGGGCGATGCTCTGGAACTGCTCCCCATGAAGCCAGTCAGGACTCTGGGGCAGTCGCCTTTCTGTGAGCAGCCTGTCTTCAGGACACACAGCTCACGCAGCTTCCACCTTCCTGGGTCTGACCTCGGAGCATTCAGCATCCTCTGCCCCTCTGTGTGCTTCCCACAGCCAGTCCGCTCAGGCGGGGTCCTGGGGAAGCCAGAGGGTCCGGCACCCCAACTCCGCAGTCAGACGTGACTCTCAGCCAGCCAGTAAAACAGAAGGTTTATTAGACGACAGGAACATGGTCTAAAACAGAGCTTGCAGGTGCAGAGAACAGGACCCCTCAGCTGGGTCCATTTTGGGGGGCAGTGAGCCAGACAACCACGTCTGCACTTCACTCCATGTCCCAGCCAGCCCCAAACTGAAAACCCCTCCAGCCCCTCCTCCTCTGGGCTTTGTTCCTTTCCCGGGCCAGGTGGTCACCTGATTCCTTTGTTCTCCAACCCTTCAGCTCTCACCTTGCAGGGGGGGAAGGGCCCAGGCCATCAGTTGCCAGGAAACAGGGTGTCGGCCATTCTCTGTGTCCAGATCCCTGCACACACCTGCCCTCTAGGGCTCTGCAATGATCATACACCCTTACCCCACCACCTAGATACTTAAGAACTGCATAGGGGAAACTGAGGCACCCCCACACTATTCAGAGGAAACATTAAGAACAGGCCCACTTCGTCACACTGGTCACAGTGACCCCGCTCAGTTCAGTCTCGAAGGGGGGAGAGATGTGACGAAGTGACTCAGCAGGGAGGGGGGAGTGTTGACCTGGGAATGTGCCCTGGGGATGGGAGACCTGAGAGCCTGTCACCTGAGCCAGGAGGGGGAGGGGGAGGTGACACCTCTGCCCAGGAATGTGAACAGAGGCTGCAGCAGGGAACCTGCTGGGTGAGTTGAGTTGGCAGTTTTGGGCTGGGTGGAGGAACACAGGGAACCCCAGGGCTGGGGTCTAAGCTCCCTGCTCCCCCAGAAGGACGTGATTGAGGGGTCCTGGTTGTACCCACAAGCTCTGTTGTGGACTGTGTTCCTGTTGTCCAATAAACCTTCTGTTTTACTGGCTGGCTGAGAGTCTCAGTGGATCCCAGGAAGAGGGGTGCAGGGCCTGGACTCCCCCACACTCCGTGACACCCTGTGCGGCCGGCTTTCCTGTGGGGGGGGGGGGGGGTCTGTAGGACACGTCCCCTCCCTCATGGGTGAGGCACGTCCCAAGAAATCAGGGCCAGCCTGCGCTTCCCCCGCTGGATTCCCCCCCCCCCATGTTCCTGCTCCCCGCCCCCCTGAGCTCTGTGGAGAGGGTGTTGCTGCAGGGGTGAACGGAGCGCCCCCCCAGTGACGCTCTCAGAGACAGACACGGGTCGCAGCTCCCTGTCCCCACGGCGTCAGCAAATGCTGCTCCCTGCAGGGAGCCCAGCCCAAGGGATCCCCCTGCCCCACCCCACCCCGGCACAGACCCATAGCGAATCCCATCCCAGAGCCGACAGCCTGCCGCATGGGTCTCCATAGAGCAGGACCCAGTGTGAGCAGCAGTGGGGTGAATCCAGGGGGCTCTGCGAAGACCAGCTGCTCCCCCTGGGGCGGGGGTCAGGCCCTCTCCCCCCTACCCACCCAGCTCGCACCCACCCAGCAACGGCTGCCACCAACACAAGATCTTGTCTTTATAGCTGGGTGTTTGCAAGGGACAGACCCTCCCCCAGGGCAGGAGACACATGGTCATCCCCACACTGGCCTGTGGATGTGGGGGACGCCAGCTGGGCCCCTCCGGGCACCACAGAGCCGGCTGAGACTCCGGCAGTGTCTAGCGATCGGGGGCCAAGCAGCCCCCCGTTCAAGGGGCTGGGTCGTCACGCCGCACTGCCCGCCTGCTCCCCAGACATTGGGGCTCCTCAGGGCGTCCTGGGTCAGGCCCCCGGAGATGGAGGTGCCACACGTGGCCTCGGCACGTGCCCCCCCCAGTTCAAGGCAAGGGGCCTGCCCCACGCAGGGATGGAGCCGGGCTGAGGAGCAGCGGGGACGGGGGGCGAGACTCCTGGCAGGTGGCAGCGAGGGCAGCATCTGGAGTGCCGGGGTCGTTCGTTCAGGGCAGCACTGGAGAGCTGGGGGAGCTCTAAGCCCCACGGCAATGGGGCAGCCGGGGCCCAGCTGGGGGGACCTTGCTGGGGTGGGTGTGGGGGGGAAACGCAGTATGGGGGGAGGGGCTCAGTTTGACCCGAAACCAGCAGAGCACGTCAGCACACGCGGCTTCTCACAAAATCCAGGGGGTCGCTCAGCAGCTCGTAGCAGGATCGGGGCCTCTCGCCCCTGAGTGACCTGCCTGCGTCCCCCTCGCCTGCCGTTCTCAGCCCCTGGGATCTCCTTCCAGCTCCTCCCGCTGCCGGGACCCGGACCTGGCCGGGCGTTTCCCCAACAACCTGGGGCCTGACCACGCCAGAGAGAGGTAGGTGGGGGGGGGGGTGTCTCCTTCACAGAGCGTGAGCACGGGCGTGTACTTGGCGCAGTTCACCCCCGTCCCGGCCACCTGCCCCTTCTGCGGCATGAGGGAGACCCTGGCGCACGTTTACCTGGCATGCGCCAGGTTGCAGCCCCGTTCCGGCTCCTTTTAGACACTGTTACATTTCTGGTTGCACTTTTCCCCTCACCTCCTTATCTGTGCAGTCCCTACCCATGGCCCCACAAAGCCACGGTTCCCGGTTAACCTCCTCCTGGCCCTGACTAAAGTGGCCATCTACAAAGGCAGGGAGAGGAGGTTGGCCGATGGAGACTCCTGTGACCGTGGGCCTATTTCCGACCCTCAGTCCGCTCACACCTCCGGGCAGAGTTATTCTGGGTGGCATCCACTGACTCCCTTGATGCCTTGGAGGAGCAGTGGGCGCTGTCCCCATCTGGTTCCCTTTGTTTGACCCTTTGACCGCACGCCTGTCCCTGTTATTTCATTAGTTGTCCCCCGAAATCATTTGGTTGCCAGGTCCTGTAGATCCCCCCCTTGAGCTGGGGGGGATTTTTTAGCAGTGGGTGGGCTTCCACCCGCCACTTCCTGGATCCCAATAGGACCAGGGGACCACAGGTGGAGTGATTTAGTTTTTTTAATTTTTTGATTTAGTTGGGGTTGGTCCTGCTCTGAGCAGGGGGTTGGACTAGATGACCTCCTGAGGTCCCTTCCAACCCTGATATTCTAGGAGTCTATGAATGCCCCCCCCAGACAGCTGCCCCCCCCCCCCAAGCCTGCACACACCTGCGCCTCCCAGGTGATTACCTGGGTCCTGCCACAGCTGCATGGCTCTGACTGACTCCAGGCTGAGGGTGGATCCCTCTGGGGTAGCTCCTCCCCGGGTGCAAACCAGCATTGCCATGGGGAGGGGGGGTGTTGCTGATTCACACCACTGAGTAGCTGGGCCATTTCCACGTGTCCTTGTCATTGGGCGGGGAGGGGGGTCTCCTGGATCTCTGCGTCAGGCCCCCGACGGGAGCGTCCCGGCCACAGACGTGTCTGGCTCCTGCTCCACAATCAGGAACGTCTCAGCCCCGTGTAAATGGCTGCATGACGCACCAGGCAGCGGTGAATCAGGCTGGGCTTGGGCATAAAATCCAGCTGTGAGCGGCTGGTGCAGGTCACAGGCTGGCCTTGCAGGGGGCCACGGATCTGCACGAGGGTTTGTTCATAGCCTGTATTTTCATGGGGGGTGAAGGAAAACAGAGCAACGAAAAAAGCCCCGGGATGGAGCAAAGCGCCCAAGCAAGGTGTGACGAAGTGGGACTGTTCTTAATGTTTCCTCTGAACAGTGTGGGGTGCCTCAGTTTCCCCTAGGCAGTTCTTAAGTATCTAGGGGGTGGGGTAAGGGGGTATGATCATTGCAGAGCCCTAGAGGGCAGGTGTGTGCAGGGGTCTGGACACAAAGAATTGCCGACACCCTGTTTCCTGGCACCTGATGGCCTGGGCCCTTCCTCCCTGCAAGGTGAGAGCTGTGGGAAGCGCACGGAGGGGCAGAGGAGGCTGAATGCTCCGAGGTCAGACCCAGGAAGGTGGAAGCCGTGTGAGCTGTGTCCCCTGCAGACGGGCTGCTCACAGAAAGGCGACTGCCCCAGAGTCCTGACTGGCTTCATGGGGAGCAGTTCCAGAGCATCGCCCGGGGACTCCGTGACACAGGGCAAGGCCAGAGGGAGGGTTGGGAGGGAGCCAAGGGGACGGGACAACAAAAATAACAACCCCCAAAAGCAGCAAAATTATAGCTGATATATTACAATACAACTTCCAAAATTACTTACAAACATTACACCGGCCGCCGGCTCAGCACTCCGGGGCGTGGGGGGGGGGGCTGCCTGTTAGACCCCGAAAAGCAACAACAGTCACCCCATGAAACGTTTGTCCGGCAGCCCCAAGAAAATGAATTGGGTTCCCCCCCCGGCCCAGGACTGGCAGCATCATGCCAGAGCGCATGGGCTCATTTGGGATTCAAAATCCGCAGCAGGGCCCAGACCCCTGTGTGTCTCCACGCCTTAAATAATATAATTAATTTAAAATAAAACAATAAAACCAGCGTCCTTCTCTTCGCTCCTCAGCTTCTTCCATGGGGGGAGGTTGGTGAAGGCTTTTAAATACACCCAGAGCAACAGTCACTTGCAAATAGCCGGGAGTGGGGGGATCTGAGCACTGTGGAGATGTTAATTAACAGGCTTTATTCATTATTTTAACTGATATGGCAGGGAAGGAGGAGCCCTATCCATGTCAATTAATGCTAATTAGTACTGGGGGAAGGGGGAGCACCCCACTGATATTAATTAATAAGATTTTCTCCTTTGATATTAATTAGTTCAATGGGGGAGGGGTTAGAGCCTCACAAATCAATACTAATTACCATAGTGGGGGAGGGGAGCAGAGAACCCTACTGAAATTAACATTTCTTCTTCCTTTGACATTAATTAGTGCCCTGGAGGAGGGGGACTGGAGCCCATTGATAGGAATGAATGAAGCAGAGGAATCCCAGCCGGGACCAGACCAGTGGGCCCATCGAGCCTGGCCTCCCGCCTGTGGCTGCTCTGGGTGGAAAGGGCAGGAACCCTGCAGGAGGTGACTAAACCAGTAATTAAATGAGCCCTCAGTGAGGAGGAAGTTTCCTCCTGACCCCATCCCTGCAGGCCAGCACCTGCCCTGAAGCATGAGGGTCGTTGTCACTGCGACAGGTGTCAGCACTGTGGGGAGGGAGGACGGGAGCCCACTGGTGTTAACCCAGGTCCTCTGTTCACGATGCTGCCCGGCACAGGGGAGCCAGCCACACTGCTGACATTAATTAACTCTGGTTGGCTCACAATGTTCATTAGACATTAATGGCTTTGTTCCACGGTCAGAGGGGAAATTGGGGTACCGGTTCCACCATTTCGGGGTGGCCCCAGTCTGGGGTTAGAGTTGAGGGGCTCTGGGAGATATGGAGGGTGTACCCTGAGGCATTCTGGGAAATATGGCCCATGGGCTCTGAGGGATGTTGCTGGGGCATTCTGGGAGCTCTGGCTGGAGGATTGTGGGAGGGGGGATGTGGGGCTCCGAGGGATCCCGCCAGCGCGTGGGTGTAATTGCCCCCCCTCTCTCTACACATTAAAATACAGGTGGGCTCTAAGCGGTGACGTCTCTTCGGTGCCTCTCTCCGGTCCCTGGTCCCAGCAGGAGACGGCAGCGGGTGCGTTGGTCTCGGTGGCTGTAGGTGGTCATGGCGTGTCCGTCCCTCAGGTGGCCAGAAGGCCCCGTAGCTTCGCTGCTCGGGGGATGGTGGGGCCTGGGCCAGGCTGGGACATTCCCTCAGGGGCCAGGGCAGGGCTCATGGGGGTTTGGTCCTAGCCCAGGAAACAGGCAGGTCCCACCTCGAACCCAAACTTCTGGTTAGGCTCCCCAAAGTCCGTGAAGTGCGCGTCCAGCAGGGGGAGCTGCTCCACGCGGGGCGTGTTCACCTCTAGCACCGTCCTGTCCGGGCCCTTCCGCAGCTGCTGGGGGGGCATGGGGAGGGTCAGGCCGCGGGGTCAGCGGCTCCAGGGCCTGTTCCTGCCACAGGCTCCCCGGGGAGCCTCTCGCTCCACTGTGACCCGGGCTCTGCCCTCTGTTCCTGGCATGGACACCAGCCTGTCGCCTCCTTCTCCTGCATGCCCCATCCCCTCCCTCCGCCGGGGCGCCTGCCTAGCCCCTGGAACCGTCTGTCTGTTCCTGCACCCGGCGTATTCATCTATCGATCCATCCTCCCCTCCCTCCGCCGGGGCGTCTGCCTAGCCCTGGAACCATCTGTCTATTCCTGCACCTGGCGTATTCATCTATCGATCCATCCTCCCCTCCCTCCGCCGGGGCGTCTGCCTAGCCCCTGGAACCGTCTGTCTGTTCCTGCACCTGGCGTATTCATCTATCGATCCACCCTCCCCTCCCTCCGCCAGGGTGTCTGCCTAGCCCTGGAACAGTCTGTCCATTCCTGAGCTTGGTGCATCTAGCTGTCTGTCTGACGTCTGTTCCTGCACCTGGTGCATCCATCCGTCTGTCTATTGCTACACCTGGCACGTCCACCTATCTATCCATTCTTCCCTCCCTCACCCTAGTGTGTCTATCTGGTCACCCAGCCACCCCTCTGCGTATCCCTCTGCGTCCTGGAATCCTATTGCCTCTATCTGTCCGTCATCCCCACTCCGGCTCCCGGTGCATCTGCCCATCCCCCCCCCCCCACCCCTGCAACTGTCTGGTCATCCAGCCTCCCTCCTAGTGTATCCATCCATCCATCCATCCATCCCTCATCTCCTCATCCCTCCATCCATCCCTCCCTCCCTCCTAGTGTATCCATCCATCCATCCCTCCCTCCCTCCCTCCCCATCCCCCATCCATCCAGCATCCCTCCTAGTGTATCCATCCATCCATCCCTCATCTCCTCATCCCTCCATCCAGCCTCCCTCCTAGTGTATCCATCCACTCTCCTCAACCCTCCAACTGTCTATTCACCCATCCCAGGGTATCCATCCTGTGACGTTGCACTCTATATGATTTTATGAAAATATAATAATGAGTGTGAATATGTAACTGGAATATGCTTCATGCAAAAGGTCTCTTGTAAGGTATCATTACAAAGATTATAATCTACTGAGTGTGGTCATCCTATTTGTATGAATGTATCATTCTTGTATCTGAAGCTAGATATATGAAATATAACTCTGAGGGCCTACTGTAATTATGCCAAGTGTGGGCCATTAATGGTGGTTTGGAATTGTGATGGCTCCCATTAACCAGGACAATTGACTGTAGATGGCTCTGTTTACTTGTAAGTCTTCCTGTATACCTGTGGGCTGGCAAGTGGGTAATGAAGTCTTACAGTGCCATGTGATCATGTCACCTGACCTGGAATCCATCTTTAACCTGGTGCTTTTCCATTGAGAAGGAGGGGTGAGAACCCAGAGAGGGACAAAGGATTCCCACCTTGTGCAAAAGATATATAAGGGGGTGGAACAGAACAAAGGGGGCTGCAATCATGAGAAATCCCCTCGTGACCACCTGAGCTGGAACAAGAGCTGTACCGGGGAAAGGGTTGTGCCCAGACTAGGAAGGCGTCCAGACTGTGACAGAAGCTTATTGAAACATCTCTGAGGGTGAGGTTTTACCTGTAATCACTTTTTTACTGTATTAGGCTTAGACTTGCATGTTTTATTTCATTTTGCTTGGTAATTCCCTGTGCTCAGGGGTAGTCTCGGCACATCAGCCGGCAGTTCCCAAAGGGGGTTTCTGTGACCCACCCCGTCACAGTGTTCGAAAGCCAATGGGGTTTCCCTGCACAGGTTCAGATCTTGTTCGTGACACCACTGTGACGGGCTGGATCACAGAGACCGACTCTGAGCCTGTTTTCCCCATCAGCTTGGGATGTCAGTGCCCTGCCTGGTCGCGCCAGACACGCCAGCCTGCTACAAACACAGACCCACGTCTGAACCACGTCTCCCACAAGCTGCAGGCTTAACTGAAAACAGCTTAAGAAGTGCTCCTGTCTCCAGCACTCGGATACCCAACTCCCAATGGGGTCCAAACCCCAAATAAATCCGTTTTACCCTCTATAAAGCTTATACAGGATAAACTCATAAATTGTTCACCCTCTATAACACTGATCGAGAGATATGCACAGCTGTTTGCTTCCCCAGGTATTAATACATACTCTGGGTTAATTAATAAGTAAAAAGTAACAAAAAGTAGGATTTAAGTGGTTCTAAGTAATAACAGACGGAACAAAGTGAATTACCAAGCAAAATAAAATAAAACACGCAAGTCTAAGCCTAATAGAGTAAGAAAGTGATTACAGATGAAATCTCACCCTCAGAAATGTTCCAGTAAGCTTCTTTTACAGACTAGACTCCTTCTAGTCTGGGTCCAGCAATCTACTCACACCCCCTGAGGTTACTGTCCTTTGTTCCAGTTTCTTTCAGGTATCCTTTGGGGGTGGAAAGGCTATCTCTTGAGCCAGCTGAAGACAAAATGGAGGGGTCTCCCAAGGCTTTATATAGTTTCTCCTTGTGGGTCTAAACCCCTCCCTCCCCCTGTGTAGAATCCCCTCTACAAGATGGAGTTTTGGAGTCACATGTCCAAGTCACCTGTTCATGCATGACTCAGTTCTCTACAGGAACGTTCCCAGGAGAGCTCAGATGTGGATTGGTGTCTCTCAAGGTCCGTTGTTCGCCAAGTACTTCCATTTACCTGAATAATCCCCTCACGCTATGTTGACCAGATCTGCCTTAGGTGCTTCCTACAGCAAACACTTTACATAGAAGCACAGAGCCAACACTCATAACTTCAGATATAAACATGGTCCATGCATACCAATAGGATGAAGACTTCAGTAGAACATAACCTGTGCAAAGGTGTGTTACATGGCATATGTAGCGTAAAACAGATTCCAGTTATGTCATATTTACACTCATAAACATATTTCTATAAAGCATTATGGGGTGCAACGTCACATCTCCCTCCCTCCCTGTACCTCCATCCCAGTATATCTGTCCCTCCCCAGACCTCCACATGCTCCCGTCTCTCTCTTCGCCCCCTCCATCCCAGCCTGTCCCTCCCCCGGCTCCCCTCCCCGGGCCCCGCTCACCGCGCAGCCATCGGTGAGGGCCGTGATGTAGGGGCTGGTGTCGTAGCTCATGTCCTCCTCGTTGGCGCCCCGGAGGCGGAGGGCACGCTGGTGGCCCCCAGAGGCGGCGCTGCCCCAGCCCACCGAACGCTGGCAGTGGTAGGTGAAGTTCTGCCGGGCGGCCACGCTGAGCAGCCGCAGGAAGGTGAGCTGCACCACGCCCACCGGGCGCCCGTCCGCGTCCACGTAGGAGAACTGGGGGGCAGGGACACGTTAGGGGGAGACGTATGTTGTGGCCACCCCCCCGCACTCCCTGCTCGGGGCAAGGCGCAGGGAGCCCCTGCCTGGGGGGCACTCAGTGGGGATCAGAGTCTGTGTGCTGTGGAGAGGGGCGCCAGAGGCAGGGAGAGAGATGGACAGAGCCCAGGACAGACGGATAGACAGAGCTACAGACGGGTTTCTCTGGTACGGATCTGCCACACCACAGACAGAGGGACTCAGGGCTGGACAGACATTAAACAGGCGACTAGCAGGGCAGACGAGACTCCAGGTGGATCTAGGGACGGGTAGCTTCCAGGACGGGTGGATGGATGGATCAGATAGAGGAGAGCCTGGGGGGACGGGCGGGGAGGTGAGGATCTAGGACTGGGGAGATACACCCTGGGGCCTGGGCACAGAGGGGGATTCCAGCGGGGATGAGGGGTGAGGATCTAGGACTGGGGAGATACACTCTGGGGGTTGGGCCCGGAGGGGGATTCCAGGGGGGATGAATGACAGAGGAGTTTGAAGGCTGGCTGGATGGACAGACGTTAGCTGGAGGGGGGGGGGTGCGGTCACTGGAGACCCCCCCTGCAGACCCCAGGTGTCAGCAGGGGGTCAGTGTTGGAGCTGCAGGGTACAGGAGGTATCTGCACACACGCAAACGCTGGGCCTGTCTCTGGGGCTCATTCACAGGGGCCAGGGCCGTGTATGGGGGTGCGAGGTGTATTATCAGGGTGCAGGATCCCCGGGACCAGGCCGCCTGTTGGGGTGACCCTGGCGGTGTCACCGAGCCCAGGACACGCCCACCGGCCTCCCAGCCCGGCTCTCACCTTCCTGCCTTCCTGGAACTGGCTGAACCAGCGCGGGGGCTTCTCCTCCTGCCACGCAGACATCTGGACCTGGCAGGGGAGACCCAGAGAGACGGGCTCACGGGGGGCTACACCACGGGGGGCTACACCACGGGGTGCCCCACACGCGTGAGCCTGTCTGGGGGCGAGGCTGGGGCTAAATCCTCCCTTCGGCCAGCCACAGCTGCTCCAGTGCCAAAACCAGACAGCGGCGTCTTGGGGTGGTTATAACAGGAGAGAACCCAGGAGTCCTGGCCCCCAGCCCCTGCCCCCTTGTTCTAACCCACCAGAGCCCACTCTCCTCCCAGAGCTGGGGAGAGAACCCAGGAATCCTGGCTGCCAGTTCCCCCTTCCCCTGAGCTCCCATCACACTCACCACCTGCGTCTCTTTGGTGGGGAAGAGGCAGGTCTCCCCGCCAGCCGAGAAGTCGCAGTGCACCTTGAAGGAGTCCCGGGAGCAGCCCTCGTTGGGGTCGATCCAGTACTCGCCTGGGGGGCAGAGAGGGGGTGTCAATGCACAAAGAATCCCCTTTATTTCCCCCACTGAGCCACCCCAGCACCACGGCCCCCTAGCGCCACCCTGGGGCATCAGGCCAGCTCTGACTGCCAGGGGAGAGCCCCCTGCTGCCCCCTGCCCCACTCCCTGCAGCCCAGCCCCCCCAGTGCTGCCCCGGGGCAATGGGGCCAGCCCTGACTCCCTGGGGAGAGCCCCCTGCTGCCCCCCACCCCGCTCCCTGCAGCCCAGCCCCTCAGTGCCACCCTGGGGCAATGGGACCAGCCCTGTCTGCCTGGGGAGAGCCCCCTGCTGCCCCCCGCCCCGCTGCCTGTAGCCCAGCCCCTAGCGCTGCCCTGGGGCAACGGAGCCAGCCCTGACTGCCAGAGGAGAGCCCCCTGCTCCGCTCCCTGCAGCCCAGCCCCTAGCGCCACCCTGGGGCAATGGGACCAGCCCTGTCTGCCCGGGGAGGGCCCCCTGCTGCCCCTGACCCGCTCCCTGCAAAAAAGGCCCCTAGCACCGCCCGTCTCCCATCAAGCCCAGCCCGGCGCTCACCGTCGGGCAGGTCAGGGTGGCAGAGCCGCAGGTCCTGGCAGGTGCGGGCCGGGTTGTCCTGGGTGCCCATCGGGTGCTTCATGTTCTCAATTTCCAACTTGAGGGCGTTGAGGGAGCCGAAGATCTCATCCATGCCGCCCGCGTGGCCATGGACCCCGTCCGCCACCATCCCCTCCCCGTCCTCACCCACCAGCTGGCTGGCGTCGATCGACCTCTTGCTCTTCTTGGGCAGCTGGATGGGCAGCGGCTGGATCACCTCCCCGGGGGGGCCCTGCTCCGGCACAGCATCGTCAGTGGGCCAGGGGCCAGGCGTTGGGATGGGGGTGGGCAGGGGCAGGGCAGGGCAGGGACAGTGTGGGGCAGGGAAGGAAGGGGCTGGGGGAAGAGTGGTACAGGAGGGGCAGGGAGGGATGGGGGCAGGGAGGGAAGGTGGTGGGGAGGGTAGAGGGTGGGGTGGGGCAGGAAGGGCAGGGTAAGTAATGGAGCCGGGAAGGGGGATGACGCTGTGAGCAAGGGATGGGGGGGAGCAGGGGGAGTGGCAGAGAGGGATGGGGGTGTGAGGATGTGACGCAGCAGGGAGGGGGGAGTGTTGACCTGGGAATGTGCCCTGGGGATGGGAGACCTGAGAGCCTGTCACCTGAGCCAGGAGGGGGAGGGGGAGGTGACACCTCTGCCCAGGAATGTGAAGAGAGTGAATCCCAGGAAGAGGGGTGCAGGGCCTGGACTCCCCCACACTCCGTGACAACTGGTGGCAGCGGTGGGATGTACTGCACCCCGTGAACGGCACTTCCTGCAGTAAGTGACTGGGGAGCAGTAAAACGAAGGGGGATTGACGGGGACCAGGCGTGCTGAAGAGTCAGAGAGAGACGGTTTCAGGGGGCGGTTAACCCCTGGGAGTATGTGACCAGAGAGAAGAACTTTTGCAGTAACAGGGCCCCCCGCGGGATCGCAGCGAGTGGTCCCACGGGCGGAGGAGTCTGCAGCTCGACCCTGGCAAAGAGGTGGTGACCTCAAGAAGGACTGGCACACGAGGGGTTTTTCCTGGAAACTGCCCGGCCTGCGAGTGGCCAGCAGGGAGATGTACGCTAAACGCCTGAAGAGAGACCTGGTGGAGCTGTGCAGGCAGAGGGGGCTGCGCATCGGGAGGTCCACCAAGAAACAGCTGATTGCCCAGTTGGAGGAGAGGGATCGCTTGGATGACCCGATCCCTGTCCCTGAGGGGAGCCGCCCGGCAGACGCAGCATGGGCCCTGCGGCCTGACCGGGCTGGGAGGGGTCAGACTGCTGCAGAGGACATCCCGAGACCCTTCCTACCGAGGCCTGGGGGAGGGGTTGGGGGAAGCCCAGCGAATACCAAGGGCACCCTGACCCCAGCAGCCAGCAGGGGATCCTCCCGGCGGAGCTCCCCATCCCTGGAGCGGAGGCGGCTGGAATGGGAGAGGGAGATGAAAATGAGGGAGCTGGAGGATCATGAAAAACAATGTCAACATGAGCAGGAGGAGAAGGAGAGGGAGCGTCAGGAGAAGGAGAGGGAACGTCAGGAGAAGGAGAAACAAAGACAGCATGAACTGGAGCTGGCCAGGCTGAGGAGCAGTGGGGCCCCGGCTGCGGTGAGTGCGGGGGGACCCAAGACTGCAAGGAGCTTTGATAAGTGCTTCCTGGCCCAGCGGAAGGAGGGGGAGGACATAGATAGCTTCCTGACGGCCTTTGAGAATGCCTGTGAGCTGCACAGGGTTGACCCTGCAGACAGGCTCCAGTTTCTCACCCCCTTACTGGACCCCAAAGCCGTGGAGGTGTACAGCCGGATGACAGGGCCGGAGGCAGGGGACTATGAACTGTTCAAACAGGCCGTGCTCCATGAGTTTGGGCTGACCCCCGAGATGTACCGGAGAAGGTGTGACGAAGTGGGACTGTTCTTAATGTTTCCTCTGAATAGTGTGGGGGTGCCTCAGTTTCCCCTAGGCAGTTCTTAAGTATCTAGGTGGTGGGGTAAGGGTGTATGATCATTGCAGTGCCCTAGAGGGCATGTGTGTGCAGGAGTCTGGACACAGAGAATGGCCAACACCCTGTTTCCTGGCAACTGATGGCCTGGGCCCTTCCCCCCTGCAAGGTGAGAGCTGAAGGGTTGGAGAACAAAGGAATCAGGTGACCTCCTGGCCCGGGAAAGGAACAAAGCCCAGAGGAGGAGGGGCTGGAGGGGTTTTTCAGTTTGGGGCTGGCTGGGACATGGAGTGAAGTGCAGACGTGGTTGTCTGGCTCACTGCCCCCCAGAATGGACCCAGCTGAGGGGTCCCGTTCTCTGCACCTGCAAGCTCTGTTTTAGACCATGTTCCTGTCGTCTAATAAACCTTCTGTTTTACTGGCTGGCTGAGAGTCACGTCTGACTGCGAAGTTGGGGTGCAGGACCCTCTGGCTTCCCCAGGAGCACCGCCTGAGCGGACTCGCTGTGGGAAGCGCACGGAGAGGCAGAGGATGCTGAATGCTCCGAGGTCAGACCCAGGAAGGTGGAAGCTGTGTGAGCTGTGTGTCCTGAAGACAGGCTGCTCACAGAAAGGCGACTACCCCAGAGTCCTGACTGACTTCATGGGGAGCAGTTCCAGAGCATCGCCCAGGAACTCCGTGACAACTGGTGGCAGCGGTGGGATCTACTGCACCCCGTGGATGGCGCTTCCTGCAGTAAGTGACTGGGGAGCAGTAACACGAAGGGGGATTGCCGAGGACCAGGCCTGCTGAAGGCTCAGAGAGGAGCGGTTTCGGGGGGCGGTTAACCCCTGGGAGTGTGTGACCAGCGAGAAGTACTGTGCAGTAATGGGGTCCCCCTGGGGACTGCAGTGAGCAGTCTCAGGGGCGGAGGAGTCTGCAGCTCGACCCTGGCAAAGAGGTGGTGACCTTGAGAAGGGCTGGCACACTAGGGGTTCTCCCTGGAAACCGTGGGGAGCTGAGAACACACGGGCCTGTGAGTCCACAACAACTTGGGAGGAGCGGAGTGATGGCCTGTCACCGTCTCCTTAAGAAGGACATTGTAACCCTGTGCAGAAAGAGAGGGTTGAGCATTGGAAAGTTCACCAAAGCAGAGTTAATCGTGCAGCTGGAGGAGGATGACCGCTCTAAGGAACAGATTCCTGACCCCAACTGGGGCTATAGCAGGATCTGGGAGCAGCTGAAGCGGGAGCCAGGCATCGCCAAGACTCCTGTCCCCGACCAGACGAGGGTCTTCATGATCGGGTTCCCCATCGGGGGATCAAGACGGACGGGATTGCAGCTGAGTCTGAGAGAGCAAGAGGACCGTGGGAGACAGCGAGAGCCCGAGAAAGAGCTGCAGAAGCAGCAGCAGCATGAACTGGCGGTGGTGGGGCGGAGAGGCCTAGGGGACCTCCCCGGGGTGAGTGGGGATAGATCCCGGGGGGCCAGTTCCGCAGGGAACCTCGAGACTAAATTGCTGCCCCTGGTTAAGGAGGGGGGGGTGTGGATGCCCACCTCACTGCCTTTGAGCAGGCTGGCGATTTGAACCAAGGGGACCCTGCGGAAAAGCCCCGGTGTCTAGCTCCCTTGCTGGGTCCCAAGGCCATAGACTCCGTCAGCCAGGTGGTTGGGGATGTGGACAGGCTCCCACTCCTGACCCCAACCTATATGTCTGTGTGGAGTTTCCTGGGGCCAGGCCCCCCGGACCTCCAGTGGGAGTAGAAGGTGATGGTCAATGGGGAGACATTCTTGGGGTGGCCAAAGGGCATGGGCTGCATAAACCTTCCCACATGCGGCCTGCGAGTGCTATCGACCACCCCTGACCTAAGGGAGGGCGTGAAACTGGAAGGGCCTGGTGTAACTCCTACCAAGGAATGGGAGAGATGCTGGGGCATCCATGGGAACGTTGGTGGCTTCGAACTTCCCCAGGTCACCGGCTAAAGTGACCCCGCTCAGTTCGATCTCGAAGGGGGGAGAGATGTGACGAAGTGGGACTGTTCTTAATGTTTCCTCTGAATAGTGTGGGGGTGCCTCAGTTTCCCCTAGGCAGTTCTTAAGTATCTAGGTGGTGGGGTAAGGGTGTATGATCATTGCAGTGCCCTAGAGGGCATGTGTGTGCAGGAGTCTGGACACAGAGAATGGCCAACACCCTGTTTCCTGGCAACTGATGGCCTGGGCCCTTCCCCCCTGCAAGGTGAGAGCTGAAGGGTTGGAGAACAAAGGAATCAGGTGACCTCCTGGCCCGGGAAAGGAACAAAGCCCAGAGGAGGAGGGGCTGGAGGGGTTTTTCAGTTTGGGGCTGGCTGGGACATGGAGTGAAGTGCAGACGTGGTTGTCTGGCTCACTGCCCCCCAGAATGGACCCAGCTGAGGGGTCCCGTTCTCTGCACCTGCAAGCTCTGTTTTAGACCATGTTCCTGTCGTCTAATAAACCTTCTGTTTTACTGGCTGGCTGAGAGTCACGTCTGACTGCGAAGTTGGGGTGCAGGACCCTCTGGCTTCCCCAGGAGCACCGCCTGAGCGGACTCGCTGTGGGAAGCGCACGGAGAGGCAGAGGATGCTGAATGCTCCGAGGTCAGACCCAGGAAGGTGGAAGCTGTGTGAGCTGTGTGTCCTGAAGACAGGCTGCTCACAGAAAGGCGACTACCCCAGAGTCCTGACTGACTTCATGGGGAGCAGTTCCAGAGCATCGCCCAGGAACTCCGTGACAGAAGGTTCCGGAGTCAGCGTAAAACGTCTGAGGTCACCTACCTACAACTGGTCAACCGGATGCAGGGATATGCCCACAAGTGGACAGCTGGGGCCCAAGCTAAAGAGGACCTGCTTGACCTAATCGTACTGGAGCAACTGTATGAACAGTGCCCTTCCGACCTGAGGCTGTGGCTGGTGGACAAAAAGCTAGAGAACCCCCAGCACGCAGGGCAGCTGGCCAACGAGTTTGTGAAGAGTTGGTCAGGGGGTAGCCGGGAGGAGTCCCAAAAGAACAGGCCCCCCCCGATGCAGAGAGAGAGAGTCACCATGGGGCCTCCCAGCGGGGAAATAGGGAGAACCCCCTCCCAAGGGGAACGTCTGGCGTCGGGCCCCTCCGACCTGCTTAAGGGGACCAACATGACCTGAGCTGCTATCACTGTGGCCAGAGAGGCCACGTACGGACCCAGTGCCCCGGGCTCAGGGACAAACTGAGCAGACCCATCCTACCCAGGGTTAACTGGGTAGGGACTCAGCTGGACGAGGGGCAGACGACCCAGGAAAGGGGGGGCTACCAGTTTACCACCTGCGCAGGAGGGAAGAGTACCCCAGGCCAGCTTCGCCAGAGGGCTGGAGGCTCTGGACTCAGGGTGCTCGGTTTACAGGGTGGGCGCGGGGCTGTCCCTCCGGAGAGAGTGCCTTGTTCCCCTGGAGGTGGATGGGAGGAAGGTCAATGGATACTGGGATACGGGCGCGGAGGTGACGCTGGCCTGGCCCGGCCCGAGGCGGTGGCCCCAGATCGGGTGGTGCCCAACACCTACCTGACCCTGACAGGGGTGGGCGGGACCCCATTTAAGGTGCCCGTGGCAAGGGTACACCTGAAATGGGGGGCCAAGGAGGGCCCCAAGGATGTGGGGGTACACCACCATTTGCCCACTGAAGTTTTGATGGGGGGAGTCCTAGAGGACTGGCCAAGCAAGCCCCAGACCGCCCTGGTTGTGACCCGTAGCCAGAGCTGGCAAGGGGCACTGTGCCCTGACCTTGGGGAGGGTACCACACCGGAGGCGCAGGACCCTTCCCTGGTGGGGAGGGGAGCGCCGAGGGGCACGGATCAGAGAGGCGGAGGCCTCAGACCTGGCCACTGAGGGGGAACCGGTCCCCATCCCTTCCCCAGCCACTGAGTTCCAGGCCGAGTTGAGGAAAGATCCCTCCTTGCGGAAGCTCAGGGACCTGGCCGACCTTGGTGTGGGATGGACCATGAGGAGAGGCTGCCAGGAGAGGTTCCTGTGGGAGAAGGGGTTCTTGTAACGCGAATGGGCTCCCACAAGGGAAGTAGAGTCCTGTGGGATCAGGAGGCAGCTGGTGGTCCCCCAGAAGTATCGCCGCAGGCTCCTGTACCTGGCCCATGACATCCCCCTCGCAGGGCACCAGGGAATCCGGCGCACCCGGCAGAGGTTGCTACAGAACTTTTACTGGCCCGGGGTCTTTACCACCGTCCGGCAGTATTGCTGATCCTGTGACCGCTGTCAGAGGGTGGGGAAGGCCCGGGACAAGGAGAAAGCGGCTTTGAGACCTTTGCCCATCATAGAGGAGCATTTCCAGAAGGTGGCCATGGACATCGTGGGGCCTCTCAGCAAGACGACCCGGTCGGGGAAGAAATACATTCTGGTGGTGGTAGATTTTGCCACCCGCTACCCCGAGGCAGTGCCCTTAGCTTCCATTGAAGCAGACACCGTGGCAGATGCGCTCCTGACCATTTTCAGCCGAGTGGGGTTCCCCAAGGAAGTCTTGACCGACCAAGGCTCCAACTTCATGTCGGCCCTGCTCTGGTGCTTGTGGGAGAAATGTGGGGTCCGGCACGACTGGGCCTCAGCTTATCACCCCCAGTCCAATGGGCTGGTGGAGAGGTTCAATGGGACGCTAAAGATGATGCTGAAAACCTTTATGAACCAGCACCCGCAGGATTGGGACAAGTACTTACCTCACCTGCTGTTCGCATACAGGGAGGTGCCCCAGGAGTCGACCGGATTTTTGCCTTTCAAACTGTTATATGGAAGGAGGGTGAGGGGCCCCCTGGACCTGATGAGAGACGAGTGGGAGGGGAAGGCCACTCCCGATGGAGAGTCAGTGGTGGAGTATGTCCTGACCTTCCGAGAGAGACTGGCTGAACTCATGGGCCTGGCCAGGGAGAATCTGGCCAGAGCCCAGAGGAAGCAGAAGGTCTGGTATGACCGCACAGCGCGGGCCCGTGCCTACGCCACCGGGGATCAGGTGATGGTTCTTATCCCTGTGAGAAAGAACAAAGTACAGGCCGCCTGGGAGGGCCCTTTCAAGGTCGTCAAGCAGCTCAATGAGGTAAACGATGTGGTGGAGCTGTCGAACCGGGCGCACCACCGCCGGGTGTACCATGTGAATATGATGAAGCCATATTATGCCAGGGGGAATGTGGTGGGAGGAGCAGGGAGATGACCCTTTAGTAGATCTATTCCCTGGGACCAGAGCTGGTTCCCCCCTGGAAACAATTCCCCTCTTGGATCAGCTAACCCCTGCCCAGCAAGCTGAGGTCAGGGAGGTGCTGCATCCGTACCGCCAGCTGTTTTCCAACCAGCCTGGACGCACTAATCTGACGGTCCACCGGGTGCAAACAGGGTCGCACCCGCCAATAAGATGCTCCCCCTTCCGAGTCACAGGAAAAACTGCTCAGGACCTGGAAAGAGAGGTCCGGGACATGCTGGCTTTTGGGGGTGATCCAGCCATCTGCCAGCCCTTGGGCCTCGCCGGTGGTGCTGGTCCCCAAAAAGGACGGGTCGGTCCGGTTCTGTGTGGACTATCGGAAGCTCAATGCCATCACTGTATCTGATGCCATCACTGAATCTGATGCCTACCCCATGCCCAGGCCTGATGAGCTCCTAGACAAACTGGGAGGAGCTCGGTACCTCACCACCATGGACCTTACAAAGGGCTACTGGCAAGTGCCGCTGGATGCAGATGCCCGGCTGAAATCGGCCTTTATCACCCCTCTGGGGCTCTATGAGTTCCTGACCCTGCCTTTCGGCCTCAAGGGAGCGCCGGCCACCTTCCAGCGCCTGGTGGACCAGCTACTGAGGGGGATGGAGAGTTTTGCCGTGGCGTATATTGATGACATCTGTGTCTTTAGCCAGACCTGGGAGGACCACGTGTCCCAGGTTAGACAAGTGCTGGACCAACTCCAGGGGGCTGGGCTGATTGTAAAAGCGGAGAAGTGCAAGGTGGGGATGGCGGAAGTGTCTTACCTGGGCCATCGGGTGGGGAGCGGCCGCCTAAAGCCGGAACCAGCCAAGGTGGAGGTGATCAGAGACTGGCCCGCTCCCCACACCAAAAAGCAGATCCAAGCCTTTATTGGGATGGCAGGATACTACCGAAGATTTGTGCCCCACTTTAGCACCATCGACACCCCCATCACGGAGCTATGCAAGAAGGGGAAGCCAGACAAGGTGGTCTGGACTGAGCAGTGCCAGGAGGCTTTCCAGGCGCTGAAGGAGGCTCTGGTCAGTGGCCCAGTTCTAGCAAACCCAGACTTTGACAAGCCCCTTGTGGTGTTCACCGACGCCTCAGACACGGGACTGGGGGCGGTGTTAATGCAGGAGGATGAAAAGGGGGAGAGACACCCCATCGTGTACCTGAGCAAGAAGTTGCTACCCCGGGAGCAACACTACGCGGCCATCGAGAAGGAGTGCCTGGCCATGGTGTGGGCCCTCAAGAAACTAGAGCCCTATCTCTTCGGGCGACACTTCACCGTCTACACCGACCACTCTCCCCTGACCTGGCTGCACCAGATGAAAGGAGCCAACGCCAAGCTCCTGAGATGGAGCCTGCTCCTACAGGATTACGACATGGACATGGTCCACGTGAAGGGAAGTGCCAACCTGATAGCGGATGCGCTGTCCCGGAGAGGGGGCCCCGAACTTCCCCAGATCACTGGTCAGCGTGACCCCGCTCAGTTCAGTCTCGAAGGGGGGAGAGATGTGAGGATGACGCAGCAGGGAGCGGGGAGTGTTGACCTGGGAATGTGCCCTGGGGATGGGAGACCTGAGAGCCTGTCACCTGAGCCAGGAGGGGGAGGGGGAGGTGACACCTCTGCCCAGGAATGTGAAGAGAGGCCACAGAAGGGAACCTGCTGGGTGGGTTTAGTTTCAGTTTGGGGCTGGGTGGAGGAACACAGGGAACCCCAGGGCTGGGGTCTAAGCTCCCTGCTCCCCCAGAAGAACTTGACTGAGGGGTCCTGGGTGTACCCACAAGCTCTGTTGTGGACTGTGTTCCTGTTGTCCAATAAACCTTCTGTTTTACTGGCTGGCTGAGAGTCTCAGTGAATCCCAGGAAGAGGGGTGCAGGGCCTGGACTCCCCCACACTCCGTGACAGGGGGGCAGGGCAGGGCAGGGGGCAGGGTAGGGCAGGGGGCAGGGTAAGTAACCGAGCCAGCAAGGGGCACGGCGCTGTGAGCGAGGGATGGGCGGGGACCAGGGGGAGCAGACAGAGCACAGGGAACAGACGGTGTGAGGCAGCAGGTCAAAGGGAAGCAGGGGGGGAGTGGGGGGTGTCACTCACCGGGTGTCCAGGGGGGCCGGGGACACCTCGCTCGCCCTTGGGGCCGGCTTGTCCCTGGCGGGGAGAAAACAGAGACGTCAGCTGGCTGCAGGGCTGACGGGGGCAGGGGGAAGGGCACCCCCTGCTGGGGCACCAGGGACAGCGCTTACCGTGGCTCCCTTCGCACCCTTGGGACCGGCTGGGCCCTGTAAAGCAATGACAGGACAATCAGAGACACGGGGGGCTGGGAGTGGGGGGCGCTGTCAGCCCTCAGGCAGGGGGAGGGGCGGTGTGACAGGATCGCCCTCTATTCACACCCCACTGTAATGCACCTAGTGAGGTCCCTTTGCACACCAGTGACTGGCTGGTCCGTGAGCTCACGGGGCCCCATGCAGCCATGTCGTACGCACGTCACGGACAGGCTGCAGTCACGACTGACAGGTCTGGGGCGGCGACAAGGACAAGGGCTCGCGTCCAACCTGGCGCCGTCCGAGCTTATGGGCCAGCACCTAGCAAGCGGCTGTGCTCTGGCACGGACGGGGCAGGAACAACCAGGGCTGAGGCCAGGTCTACACTGCAGACTGTATCGGTGTAACCACATTGCTCAGGGCTGTGAATAATCCACCCCTGAGTGAGGCAGTTACACCGACCTGCCCCCGTGTGGCCAGCTCTGTCCTGGGAGAGCTTCGCCCGCCAACACAGCACCGGCCCCTCGGGGAGGTGGATTAACTCCACCGATGGGAGAGCTCCCAAGTGTCGACGTGCCCTGAGCTCAGCTCACCCGTCCCACCGATTCCATGTCCCCTCACTCCGGGGGACAGAGCATTATCTAGGGGTCCCCACGGGAGCGTGCATGTCACAGGGGCTGAGCTATCCAAGGGGGGGCGAACATCCTATGCTCTCACTCCCTGCCCAGCTCTTTCACCTTTGAGGACACAAGAAACCAGCCGTCGGCCCCTGGGATAGACCCCGACCTGGTGCTTGGCCAGCAGTGGTTAGAGACCACGCCCAGCCTGTTAGGGTTCGATCTGGGCAGCATTTTATCTTTATTCTCCTGTGACCATCTGACCTCGACACCTTGTCACCAGGACTCACTGACCACCTGCCGCTCTGTAGTGAACAAAGCTTCTTCTATTGTTTATTGACCCTAATCCTGGGCTGCGAGCTGTGTGGGTAATGCCATCTGTGGGGCTACCGGCTACATGAAATCCCCTATCGGGCCTGTCCAGGAGAGGGCTGGCAGTGCAGAACACATGGCCTGGGGTGCAGACCGGGGCGGGAGCGGGCTGGGGTCACCCTGCAGCACTAACCCAGGCTGGTGGGGCCGGGCGTGACCTGGGCGTGGCTGGCAGTGCAGAACACACGGCCTGGGGGGCAGACTGGGGTGGGGACCAGGCTGGGGTCACCCTGCAGCACTAACCCAGGCTGGTGGGGCCGGGCATGACCTGGGCATGGTTGGCAGGCGGTGACTGTATCCAAATCTCGGGGTGGGACCTGCATGTGGCTGGATAGTGCAGAACACACGGTCTGGGGGGCAAGCCGAGGCGGGGAACGGGCTGGGGTCACCCTGCAGCACTAACCCAGGCCGGTGGGGGCCGGGTGTGGCCTGCGAATGGCTAGCAGGTGGTGGCTGTACCCAGCCCTCGGGGGGAACATGCATGCTGGGGGCTAGTTGTGGGGGGTCCAGGCTGGGAGCTCCAACAGCAAGGCACCGTAGGGCACCCCAGGATACCGGGCAGCCGATGACAAAGCCCCTGCCCTAGTCTGGACTGCACCCCGTAGTGTCACGGGCATGTTACAGGGGATGCCCAGACACAAGGGTAAGGGGCAGGTGACAAAACGGGGCCCATTACAGGTGATGCTCAGACAGGGGGGCCATGGGGTGAGGCCCAGACCCACAAGTGGCACAGGGGAAGGTCAAAGGTCACTCACAGGAAGGCCCGGGGGCCCGGCAGGTCCGATGGGGCCGGTAGCACCAGGGATCCCCTGCAGGGACGAGAACAGAGAGCAAAATTAGCGCAAGAACAGAAGCACCCCCAATTAACCCCTCACAGCCCAGACTTCACAGGGGCTCCCACGCTCACCCCCCGTCTGCCCTGGGTCCAACACAGCCTCCTCCCTGGGCAGCCCTGCTCACCACACCCACCCTCAGAGCAATGATTAGAACCCAGGAGTCCTGGTTCCCATCCCCTCTGCTCTAACCCACCAGACCCCCCACTCTTCTCCCAGAGCCAGGGATAGAACCCAGGAGTCCTGGCTCCCAGCCCCCCCTGCTCTAACCCACTAGACCCCACTCCCCTCCTAGAGCTGGGGAGAGAACCCAGGAATCCTGGCTCCTGGCCCCCCAAGCTCCCACTGCTCCCCACATGGCAGGGGTCTCTGGCAGGGGGTCTGGCAGTGGAGAACTCCCCCCCACCCCAATACTCACAGTCTCTCCTTTTGACCCCAGGGAGCCCTGCGGGCCAGGCAGGCCCCGGTCTCCTTTCTCTCCCTGCTCGCCTGGAGGCCCGATCAGACCGATCAGACCAGGATGGCCCTGGGGAAAGACAGACAGTGGTCACTGCAGGACAGACAGATGGGGGAAGGCATCGAGGGCTGTGTGTGGGACAGCCTGGGCGTGTTGATACGGACAGTGTGTGGGGAGGGGTCTGTGCGGGGTCTCTGTCCCGGGCTCTCACACACCCTTGTGCAGGCTGTGGGACGTGCACCCCAGGGATACTCGCACGCTGTTGTGCTGATGTGCCTCGTTCACACAGGCTTGTGTATCGCTTGTGCCACACTCGTGATGTGCGTGTCGTGGGCGTTCCTGACTCTCGCTGCGTTCACCGGCACTGTGCACCACGTGTGCGCTGGCATGTTCCCGGGCGCTGCATGGCGTGGGCTGGTGTCACGTGGCACACGCTGGTGCACACGGGTGCACGGGGCGTGTATCATTCCCCCCCACCCGCTGGTGTATTGTGCTTTCACACACAGGCTGTGTGCCCCCCGTGTGCTCCCCGCTCACCTTCTCTCCTTTGGCTCCGGAGTCCCCTTTGAGGCCGGGCAGCCCCGGGGGGCCCTGCAGGGAGACACAAGCCGACCGGTTAGCCGGGGAGGAGAGGGGGCTCCCCAGCTGGGGATGCTGTCACAGGGGAGGGCAGAGTCACACTCACCACAGGTCCCGGGGGGCCCGCCTGGCCCGTCGCACCCGGCTTGCCTTGTTCTCCCTGCGGAGGATGGAGAGAAGAGGTTAGAGCTAAACGCTGCCCTGACCATGCCCCAGGGTTGCCCCCCACAGCCCAGCCCCAGAGGCCCCACCCTGCTCTGGGACTCCCGGCCTGGAGGCAGGGGTCCTGCACCCCACCCTTCTGGGGCTCCCCAGTCGGAGGCAGTGGGTCTCATGCGCTGACTGCCCTGGACAGGCCTGCAGTGGGGAAAGCTCCACTCTCAGCCCATTGGCATCGGGGGAGGGCAGTTCTGGATTTACAGCGGGAGGGGGGGGCAGCTGAGACCAGCCCCTGTGTGTCTGGGGCTCAGGGATCCATCAGCAGGCCGGGAAATACAAGCATGGATTGCGGAGCTGGGGTCAGACCCCCCCCTCCCAGAGCCGGGATAGAACCTAGGAGTCCTGGCTCCCCATTCTAACCACCAGCCCCCACTCCCCTCCCAGAGCCGGGGATAGAACCCAGGAATCCTGGCTCCCAGCCCCCCCCGCTCTAACCCACCAGCCCCCACGCCCCTCCCATTGCTGGGGATAGAACCCAGGAGTCCTGCTGGCATGCAGCTGGCTGTCACTTACCACTGAGCCAGGGATGCCTCTCAGCCCATCAGGCCCCTGCTTGCCGGCCGGTCCCTGGGGCCCCACAGGGCCAGTCTTGCCAGGAGGTCCCACGGCACCTGGCTCGCCCTGGGGGACAGAGGGGCAGGGTGAGCTCGGGGATGGGCGACAGGTTCACAGCTGTGGCGGGGGTTCCTTGGCATCACCCACCTCGTTGGGGTCAGCGACCATCCTGGGGCTCCCCATCACACCGACCCCAGTGCACCGTGGGACAGGAGCCCTTGGCGTGGCTGGGCCGCGGCCTGGCTGGCTGTACTGGGAGCTCCCAGCCTGGGCCCTGGGCCTAGGGACAGACCCCGCTGCACCTCGTCTCTGGGGAGCTCCGAGCTGGGTCTGACCCCAGGGGATCCGGGACCCAACACCTCCCCAGCAGAGACCCCACCTGGGGGAAGAGCCCACGGAGCCTGGTTCACTTACCTTAGTGCCCTTCTCACCCTGACGCCCCTCGGGACCCGGGGAGCCTGCGGGGCCCTGCGGAGAGAGGAGACGGGGGGTGAACAAGGGAATGGGGCACGGGCCTGTCCCCTCTAGGGGGCGCCGGTTCCCATCCAGCCCCAGGGCAGGGACTGGCTGGCTCAGGGGGCAGGGAATGGGGCACGGGGCCTTTCCCCCTCTACGGGGTGATGGCTCAGACCCGGCCTCAGGGCAGGGACTGGCTGGCTCAGGGGGTGGGGAATGGGGCACGGGGCCTGTCCCCTCTAGGGGGCGCCGGTTCCCATCCAGCCCCAGGGCAGGGACTGGCTGGCTAAGGGGGCAGGGAATGGGGCACGGGGCCTTTCCCCCTCTACGGGGTAATGACTCAGACCCGGCCTCAGGGCAGGGACTGGCTGGCTCAGGGGGTGGGGAATGGGGCACGGGGCCTTTCCCCCTCTAGGGGGCGCTGGCTCAGACCCGGCCCCAGGGCAGGGACTGGCTGACTCAGGGGGCAGGGAATGGGGCACGGGGCCTGTCCCCTCTAGGGGGCGCCGGTTCCCATCCAGCCCCAGGGCAGGGACTGGCTGGCTCAAGGGGGGCAGGGAATGGGGCACGGGGCCTTTCCCCTCTAGGGGGCGCCGGTTCCCATCCAGCCCCAGGGCAGGGACTGGCTGGCTCAAGGGGGGCAGGGAATGGGACACGGGGCCTTTCCCCTCTATGGGGCACTGGCTCAGACCCGGCCCCAGGGCAGGGACCGGCTGGTTCGGTGTGGGGCGGGAGGGGTCCCTAGAGCTAAGAGGTTTCCCTGGCATTAGCTGCCGCACTCTGGGCTGGGCGTTTCGCTTGCTGCCTGGGACGGGAAGGAATTTCCTGTCCTCGGTGCCAGAGGCGGCTTCACAAATCCCAGCCCCACCCTCCCCGCAATGAGATTCCCAGGGAGCCGGATTTATGTGCGCTTGCGTGTGTCTGCTGACCCCTGCGGGCGGGGTCACTGTGGCTGCAGAGGGGGTGGGTGCCCGGAGTGCGGGGGGGGTCTCTGTAGGTGCAGGGGATTTTGTCCTGTGCCGGTCAGAGTCCCTATCACACAGTGGCTGGGACAGCAGGACGCCTCTGCCCTGCTCCTGGGGGACGGCAAGAGGAGAGGGGTGACCTGGGCAGGGCAGGGGGGCCCAGACAGTCCCATCACTTACCCTCTTCCCTGGAGGGCCTGGGGGGCCATTCTCTCCTGTCGGGCCTGGCGAGCCCTAGAGAGAGAGAGAGAGAGAGCGCTGGAGTTAGGAGAACCAATCTAATCCAGAACATCACAGAGAGGGGAACCCGGAGAGGAGGGGAATCTGATCCAGAACATGAGGGAAAGGAGAACCCAGGGATGGGGGGGGGGTCTGATCCAGAACAGGGGAACCCGGAGCAGGCTGGGGGCAGATACAATCAGAGAGGGGGATCCGGAACATCGGAGGCGGGTTCCAATCCAGAACATCAGAGGGGCCAATCAGGAAAGTCGGAAAGAAAGGAATCCAGAGAGGGACCCGATCTGGAAATTGGGGGGGCGCGCGGAGTCTGATCAGACTGTTGGGGGGACTCGGAGGGGCACAGATCCCATCCGGAGCGCTGGGGACACAGGTGCGGTGTCCAGTCCAAATGTCAGGGGAGATCCACTCCAAACCGTCGGGGGGGGGACCCCATCAGGGCCCTGCTCCAGAGCCCTGGTCACTCACCAGCTGCCCGGGTTCCCCATCCTCGCCTCGCTCGCCCTTTGCCCCGTCCTGGCCCTGGAGGGGGAAAACAAGCCCTGAGTCAGCAGGAGGCCTCAGCAGGGACCCCAAACCCCAGCTGGAGGGCCCCAAACCCTGCTGCATTCCCCCTGGATCCCCACCCGACCTCCGAGCACCTCCCCTGCCCCCAGACTGCAGGGACCTGGAGGACAATGCATGGGGCTGATACTTACCCTGGGGCCCATTTCACCTACGGGGCCCGGATCCCCTGGGAAACCAACAGGACCCTGGAAGAGACAGGAATTAATTAGCCTGAGCCACCTCCTCCTACAGCCAGGCACAGAACCTAGGAATCCTGGTTCCCAACATCCCGACCCGATCTAACCACTAGACCCCACTCCCCTCCCAGAGCTGGGATAGAACCCAGGAGTCCTGGCTCCCCCTCCTCCGGTCTCTGCGCCGCGTCACTCACAGGGTTCCCCTTGGGCCCGTCGTCTCCAGGGGGCCCTTTCCCTCCAGGGGGTCCAGCTGCACCGGCGGCTCCCGTTTCTCCTTTCTCCCCTCGCTCTCCTCGCGGGCCCTGGGAAGGAGACAGAGCATGCAGGGGGGTATCAGTCAGTGTGGGGTTCGTGAGGAGGGGGAGGATGAGGGGAGTAGCCTGGCTGAGGGCAGAGCTCTGGGGGTCAGCTCTAGGGGAGGGGTCCCAGTCCCAGTGTCCCTTGGGGAGATCCCCCATGTGTGCGGGGGAAGGAGTCTCTTCTGTGGGGGCCTGTCAGGGGGGAGGGGTCCTGGCCCCAGTGTCTCTGGGGTGGGGTCCACAGCCAGGAAGCGGGGAGCACTCCAGACTTGGGGGGGTTCCTGTTGGAAGAAAGGGGCTCTGGGGTGGTCCTCACTGGGTGGGGGAAAGGCCAGGCCCGGCCCCGGGTCTCCCCCCGCAAGGCATGGGGACAGATGGGCCCTGAGGGGCCTTTGGCTAGGGGGAGCAGTGCTCTGGGGGCCCCTGACAGGAGACACCCCCCAAGAAGGGGTCCCTGGCTGGAGGCTGACAGCTCTGGGTGGGCCTTAATAAGGAAGAGACAAATGTGGGGAGCTGGCCACTGATTCCCATAGCAGGCAGGGCCCCAGTACAGGGGATGAAGAAGAGCTCGGGGGGCTCCTTGGTGGGGGACGCAGCGAGGCCGTCCCATGGGATAGGGGCTGGGCAGCCAGGTGTGGGCGAGGACCCGGGGGAGCCCCAGGGGGGTAGGAGAGGGACAAATGGGGGGAGGGGATTTCCAGGGGGTTAGTGGCCGTGCTGCCAGGTAGGATGTGCGAGGGAGCAGGAGCAGGGGGACCCGAAGACTCACCTTGACTCCTGGCTCCCCGGGGATGCCGGGGGCCCCCGACTCGCCAGGCTCACCCTGAAATGAGAGAGACATCAGCGCTCACGCTCCGACCGGTCCCCCTCTGGATGGTCCCAGGAGCCACAGCGCAGCAGCAGCCGACAGGCCCTGTGTCACTAGATCCCACTCCCCTCCCCTCCCCGAGCTGGGACAGAACCCAGGAGTCCTGCTCCAGCCCCACATTCCCATGGGCGAGTGGTGGTGGGTCCCTTTGACTCCTGCAGTCTGTGACTCTGAGTCCCCCCATGCGTCCCCTCCCTTCACGGGCTATGGGGAGAACAGGGTCACCTGCACTGCCCTCTGCATGCTCTGCACAAGGACAGTGACTCATCCAGTCTCAGGCTGCAGGGCGGCAGGGTCAGGAGGGGATTTGCTCCCCGAGACTCAATTGGCCAGCTGTCTCTGGGGCTTTTCCTCGGAAGCATCCGGGCTTGGCCCAGCTGGAGACGGGGCACCACACAGTGGGGGCTGGTGCTCTGAACGGCTCCAGAGACACCTCTGTCTGGCTGCTGAGTCTGGCTCACATGCTGCGGGTCCCCAGATTGGGGGCAGGGAAGGAATCTCCCCCAGGACAGACAGGCAGGGCCCTTGGGGGGTTTCCCTTTCCCCTGCAGCGCGGGGTATGGGTCACCGGCTGGGCTCAGCGGATCAGGTCCCTGCCATCACAGGGGTGTCGGCCCTTGGGGCCCCTGGGGCCCTCCTGGGCTCAGCTGTCGCGTCCCCAGGCTTGGTCCCCTGGAAGCTGACAGGCGTCAGTCCAGCCAAGTCGCGGGGCTGAGCACAGGGTGACAGGGAGAGATTCTCTGCCCGCTTCTGTCCAGGGGCCAGGCTGGAGAGAATGGGCCCTTCACTCCATGAAATCTACCAGCCCCCACTGCCCCTCCACACACCCCCAGGGCTGGGAGAGAACCCAGGTGTCCTGCCACCACCTACCTTCTCTCCAGGGGGGCCCAGGTTGCCAATGCCTCCAGGGCCGCCTTGGGGTCCCTGCAGGGGGAGAGAGCAGAGCTGGTTACCTCCGGGGATGCCCTGGGCAGAGCTGACAGGGGTGGGGGGCGGGGGTGGCACTTACGTCGGCTCCGGAGGGTCCGGCTGGGCCACGCGGCCCCGGTGGTCCTGGGGGGCCCTGTGGGGAGAAAGAACAAGGTGAGGGGAGCTCTGGGACATTCCCACCTGGAGGGGGAACTGGGAATGGGGAGCAGCCAGGGTCACTTACCATGGGGCCCACGTCACCTGTCTCGCCCTTTTCCCCCGCCGGGCCCGGCAGACCCTAAGGAGAGACAGAGAGCGTCAGTGCGGGGCACATCTGGACTGGGGGGAGAGGGCAGATCAAGAGGCACATCTGGATTGAGGGAGATGGCGGAAGCAGGCAGCACATCTAGATTTGGGATGAAGAGGGTTCTAGACCTAGGACACATCTGGATCTGGAGGATGGGGGGGAGAGATGGAGGGACACATCTGGATTCAGGATGGGATGGTGGTCCAGAGGGAGGGACACATCTGGATCCAGGTAGGTGGGGAGGAGGGCACACAGGGATAGCTTCCCCCACCTCCCAGAATAGCTGGCTTGGGGGTGGGACCCAGCAACAACTGGCCAGTGGTCGCACCTTCATGCTGCCCAGCAGTTTGGGACAGGAAGTGAAGGGGAATCCTGTCCCCAGCTAGAACTGCACCATGGGACAGGTGTTACTTAGGGAGGACGGACTGTGTGGCTAGGGCTGGGGCCATGGCTAGGTAGCGGGGCTCGGGTCGGGTCTGGGTCCAGGGGAGAGGACGGAGACAGGGGGAAGGTATGGAGCACGGGGGTGGGGCCAGGTGCAGGGGCAGGGCCAGGGCACCGGAGTGGCTCAATGGGGGACAGAGGGTGCAACCCTGCAAGGCCAGTGACAGGCCCCACTCACCTGCAGCCCGATGGGGCCAGGCGGCCCGTTGAATCCGCGGGTTCCTTCGTCGCCCTTCGCCCCAAAGTGGCCCTGGGGGCCCCGAGCGCCCGGCTCCCCGTCAGCCCCCTCGACACAGACACGAGAAAGAGTGAGACAGGCTGCGAGTGGCCCCAGGGAGACGGGACTCACTGAGTGGGCAGGGGAGTTGGGGGAGGTCTCGTCGCTGTGGGAGCAGCGGGAAACTCTGCCACCACCGTTCCCCATTGACGGGACCCCCTGGAATCCCACCCACACTCCATCAGTGCGATGTGGGGCCCCTGTGCCATCAGGAACCAAGCACCTCACCCCATGGCATGAGTGAGGGGCTGGGACACTGCGCTGCCAGGAGACAGGGACCCTCTGCCAAGCACGGAGCAGACCGGGCTCCATCACCCTCAGCTACGCACCCCCAGCCAGGGAGCCAACCAGGCTCCATCACCCAGGCCCTGCACAGACCCAACCCAGCTCCCTCATCCAGCTTGGCAAACAGCAGACCCGGCTCCATCACCCTCAGCTCTGTCCCCCAGCCCAGCATGGAGCCAACCTGGCTCCATCCCCCTGCCCTGAACGGGGCTAACCTAGCTCCATCCCCTTGACCTGCATGGAGCCAACTCAGCTCCATCCCCATCAGCTCCACGCCCTGCCCTGCACAGAGCCAGCCAGCTCCAACCTCATCAGCTCCACGCCCTGCCCTGCATGGAGCCAGCCAGCTCCATCCCCATCAGCTCCACGCCCTGCCCTGCACAGAGCCAGCCAGCTCCAACCTCATCAGCTCCACGCCCTGCCCTGCATGGAGCCAGCCAGCTCCATCCCCATCAGCTCCACGCCCTGCCCTGCATGGAGCCAGCCAGCTCCATCCCCATCAGCTCCACGCCCTGCCCTGCATGGAGCCAACTCAGCTCCGTCGTCCCGCCCTGCCCAGAGCTGGCACAGCCCCTTGCTACCAGCTGCAGAAGGCTATCTGAGGGGTGCAAGGTACTTACAGTTGCTCCAGGCTGCCCGACTGGGCCCATGGGACCTGGGGGGCCTGGGGGACCCTGGAAGGAAGAAGACGGGGGTCAGTGGTGCTGAGACACAGAGATATCCCGGGCAGGAAGGGGGGGGGGGGGATCAGCCCCTGTCTCGGGTCAGGGGAGCTCCAAGCTCATACTCACGTGCTCTCCCTTGTTGCCTTTGCCACCCTTCTGGCCCGGCTCACCCACCTCGCCCTGCGGAGAGAGGAGAAGGGGGGTTTAGCCCATTGCCGCATGCAGGGTCAGGACACAGACACAGACAGGGCCTTACCTTATCGCCATCCTCACCAGCACCCCCCGGGGGCCCTGCTGGGCCAGGCAGCCCAACGGGACCCTGGACTCCGTCACGGCCAGCGGGGCCTATGGGACCTTTCTCACCCTAGGGAGAAACAGAGTGGAGTGAGGTGCACAGAACCCAGGAGTCCTGGCTCCAACCCATCCCCCATTGTAACCCACCTGACCCCATTCCCCTCCCAGTACTGGGAACAGAACCCAGGAGTCCTGGCTCCCCGCTCTCCTGCTCTAACCCACTAGGCCCCACTCCCTTCCCAGAGCCAGGATAGAATCCAGGAGTCCTGGCTCCCAGGCCCCCCTGCTCTAATCACGACACCCCACTCCCCTTCCAGAGCTGGGATAGAACCCAGGAGTCCTGGCTCCCATCCCCCCCTGCATCCGACTAAGCCCCACTCCCCCCATGCCCTCTGTGCCCCCTACTCACAGGAACTCCTTTCTCTCCAGCGGGGCCTGGGGGCCCTTGAGGGCCCGGTCTGCCTGGGGGTCCGATGGGGCCGCCCTGTCCAGGGCCACCTCTCTCTCCGGGCGAGCCCTGGGGGAAGAGAGAGGAGGAGTCACTTGCTGCCCCCCACAGCAGGGTCCCCCCAACACACATTGCGGGGACCGGGATCAGGGGTGAGGGAGGGGGCGGATCAGGGGGGTTAGAGGTAGGAGGTTAGGGAGGAGAGGGGCTGATGGGGGAGTGAGGAAAGGGAGGTCAGAGAAGGGTTGGGGAGGTGGGGGCCTAGGGGAATAGTTGGGGGGAAGGAGTTGAGGGAGGGGCTGGTGCGAGGGTCCCCACATCATACTCACTGCGGGTCCTGGGGGTCCGGCCGGCCCCTCATTCCCTTTCAGCCCCGTGCCGCCCTGCGGGAGAGAAGCACAGGTCAGGGCCTGCTGGCACCGGGGACGGGCGGGGGGCATTTGAGCGGGGGGGCCGGGTACTCACCGGGGTGCCAGGCAGCCCCCGCTCACCGGGGAAACCGCGCAGTCCAGCCGGGCCGTCTTTCCCGAGGGCTCCCGGGGGGCCAGGGTCTCCCTGCGCCGGGGGAAGGAGAAGGAGGATTAGGTGGGTCCCCCTCCCTGCTCTCTGCAGCACAGCGCCCCCTAGCACCGCACTGGAGCATCACAGCTCCTTACCTTGGTTCCTTCTTTCCCAGAGGGTCCTGGCAAGCCCTGCTCTCCCGGGGGTCCAGGGGGGCCTGGGTGACCTCTCTCCCCCATCGGACCAGACTCCCCAGAAGCGCCCTAGTGCGGGGGGAGACAAGAAACAGTGTGAGACCTTCAGGGAATGGGCCAGACCCTTCGACCCCTGCCTCTTCCACCACCAGGGGGAGCTGCTGAGTAACTGCACCCTATGGGCACAGCCTCTCCCAGCCCACCTGGAAACCCCCACCACCCGACTTCTTACCTGAGGTCCCACCACCCCCGGGGGGCCGGGGGGGCCCGTCTTGCCTTGGAAACCCTGAAAGACAGAGAGAGATGGGGGCATTAGCACGAGCCGCGGCAGATGGCTCTGCCCCCCACCTCCCAAGTGTAAGTGGAGAGTCACACAGGAGTGAGCGAGGAGCAACACAGGAAAGTGTGAGGAGTAACAATGGTGAATCCAGAGTGTAATGTGAATTTATGAGCAGTAATGTGGGGGTAACCAGAGACTAACATTGGAGTATGTGAGGAGTAATGCAGTGTAATACATCAGTGTACAAGGATTAAAATGGGAATACCGAGAGTTACATGGGCATAAGAAAGGAGTAAAGTGGGAGTAACCAAGAGTAACAGCGGAGTGAACAGAGAGCAATGTGGGAGTAACCAGAGTGCAACGCAGGAGTGAGAGAGGAATAATACAGGAGTATCCAGAGAGTAACATGTGAGCAACCAGAATGCAAAGCGGGAGTGAAAGAGGAGTAACAGGAGTATCCAAAGCGTAACATAGAAGCATGTGAAGGGTAACACAGGAGTATCCAGAGAGTAATGGAGTAATTTGGGGTAACGTGGGAGTAACCAGAGAGTAACGCCAGAGTATGTGAGGTGTAATATGAGAGTAACATGAGAGTAATCAGAGAGTAACATGGTAGTAAGAAAGGAGGAACAGGGGGAATAATCAGAAAGTAACAAGGTACTATGTGAGGAGTAATGAGGAAGTTTCCAGAAGTAGCCTGGAGTTACTTAGGTGTAACCCAGGAGGAACCAGAGTGTAACACGGGAGGAACCACAGAGCAACACAGGGGTAAGAGAAAAGTATCCAAAGCCCAACAGTTCAGTAACAGAGACACATACGACTTCTCCTCGCTGACCGGGATGCCCGGGAAGCCCGTCCTTGCCAGGGGGGGCCCTGTGGGGAGGAAAAAGGAGAGGTCAGTGGGACAGGGGGAGATCGCAGGGGGAGGGAACTGGGGAGCAGTCAGGAGGGCAGGGGAGCCAGCTGGGGGGCCAGGGAGCAGGCGGGTGGGAATGGCAGTGGGAGAGAGCTGGGATGCAGGCAGGAAGGCTGGAAAGCAGGTGAGAGGGGGCTGAGAAGCCAGCAAGGAGGCTAGAGAGCAGGTGTGGGGTAGCTTGGATGCAGGGGGAGGGGGCTGAGGAGCCGGCAAGGGGCTGGGGGCAGGCAGAGGGGCAGGGGAGCCAGTAGGTAGGGTATGTTACTCACCGGTGGTCCTTTGGGTCCGGGGAAGCCGTTTGGCCCCTGGGGGCCCGGGAGTCCCTGTGGAGAGCAGAGCGGAGGTTAGGGGGGCTGGGGGGGCAGGAAGAACAATGCCTGGCCCCACGGACACCAGCTGGAGGCCAGCACGGCCAGGTGCAGGCGTCACGAGCAGGGGCCAGGCCAGTGTTGTACCAGGAGGCCAACTGCACAAAGCCAGCCGTGTCGCATGGCAGTGACCCGTCCCTTGCACCAGGGACCTACTGAGGCTGCTGTGCACCGTGCCGGGCCCAGCAGCCGTGACTGGGGCCGTGCAAGCATTGCACTGCCGTGACCTGCCCCTCACACCAACAAATCTGGAGCCGGCTCACGGAGAGGCTGAACAGTGATAGCGACATTTGGACAGGGCAGGCTGAATGAGGCCTGGCGGTGGTGAGCAGAGGCCTACTGCGAGTGTTGCACTAATGTGACCCATGCCTGGCACACCTGTCGCACAGGGCCCTGGAGAGGTGAACAGGCATGGGCACAAGGCAGGGGAGGCTGCACGAGGCCCAGCAGTGGTGTTCCAGGCCCAGCTGGTGCAGCGAAGGGTGGTGCCCAGTGCCCAGGGCTCTTTGCACACCCAGGTCCCCCCCATGCCACGCTCACACTCACCCTTTCCCCTGGAGGGCCGTGGGGGCCGTCACCGCCAGAGGTGCCCTGCAGGGGGAGACAAATGTGAGGGGCAACCGGAAGCATGTCCCCTTCCAACACACACTGACACGTGTGCACAAATGTGTACATTCATCCCTGTGCATGTACACACGCCCATTTTCACACACACACACACAGATGCACAGAGACAGACACACAGGGACACGCATACATACGGGGACACACACGGACACACACACAGGGACACACAGAGAGACGCAGATGGGACACACACATGCAGACAGGAGACACACACACACAGAGACAGGGACACACAAAGGAACACATTCAGCCTTGCACGTTTGCACACCCAGAGCCTACTCACACTTGCTGACATCTGAGCCCTGCCCAGACCCAACCCTGTGACACACTGACCCCACCCCACCCCACCCCACCCCGACACTCAGACCAACGGACAGACCCGGTGCCCCAGCCCCTCCCCCAGCACCCACCTTTGCCCCCAGCTTTCCAGTGGCTCCTCGCGGCCCCCGCTGGCCCCTGGGACCCTGGAGGAATGAGACAGAGGCGGGTGAGTGTCTGAGCCCTGGCTCTGCCCCCTTCCATCCTCCAACCCCCACTTCCCAGGGGGCAGAACCCGAGCAGGCCACACAGTGACCTGGGGGCATTCAGGAGGATCTCAGGGGTGGAGGCAGCAGACGGGAGGGACCCACCAGCCACGTAGGACACATGATGGGCACATGACCCCCAGCCCTGGTAGGGGAATGCCGGATCCCCCCAACCCCAGATGGGAGGATTAAGGAAGGTAGGTGGAGGGGGATATTTGCCTCCCCACCAGAGAGGGGCCCAGCCCTGAAGCCCTGTGCCAAGGCAGGGTGGAGCCCAGAGGGGACACAACATGTATGAGTCAAGCTGGGGGGTGAGCCCCATGGCAGGGGAGTGGCTGGCTCCAGGGGTCATGGGCATGACCTCACTGGGGACTGGGTGAGGTGGGGATCCATGTGTGGGGCAGGGGCTGGGATGGGGAGGCCTGCACTGGGCACGGATGGACGGATGGACAGAAGAAACGTGGATGGGAGAAGGAGGGGATGGAGGTTTCGGATGGAGAAAGCAGAGGGAAGGATGGACAGACAGATGAGAAGGAACGGATGGAAGGGGATTGGGACTGAGGACTGGGGCAGGGATGGGAGGACGGAGGGCTGGATGGAAGGAGAACACAGATGGAAGGATGGACAGATGTGAAGAGATGGATCGCGGGGAGCGAGGATGGTTGGGGGGAGCCCAGAGACTTGGCTGCACTAACCCCCCTGCCTCCCCCACACACTCACCGAGGGGCCGCGCTCGCCCCGGGGCCCTGGCCTCCCGGATAGACCCTGCAACAGAGAGAGTCAGTGAAACACAGACAGGGCATGGGCACCCATGGGAGAACTCAGCCAGCCAGGGCCCTTCAGGGATCCATAATATACTGTGACGAAGCGGGACTGCTCTTAATGTTTCCTCTGAATATTGTGGGGGTGCCTCAGTTTCCCCTAGGCAGTTCTTAAGTATCTAGGTGGTGGGATAAGGGTGTATGATCGTTGCAGAGCCCTAGAGGGCAGGTGTGTGCAGGGGTCTGGACACAGGGAATGACCAACACCCTGTTTCCTGGCAACTGATGGCCTGGGCCTTTCCCCCCTGCAAGGTGAGAGCTAAAGGGTTGGAGAACAAAGGAATCCAGTGACCTCCTGGCCCGAGAAAGGGACAAAGCCCAGAGGAGGAGGGGCTGGAGAGAGTTTCAGTTTGGGGCTGGCTGGGACATGGAGTGAAGTGCAGACGTGGTTGTCTGGCTCACTGCCCCCCAAAATGGACCCAGCTGAGGGGTCCCGTTCTCTGCATCTACAAGCTCTGGTTTAGACCATGTTCCTGTTGTCTAATAAACCTCTGTTTTACTGGCTGGCTGAGAGTCCCGTCTGACTGCGGAGTTGGGGGGCAGGACCCTCTGGCTTCCCCAAGACCCCGCCTGGGCAGACTGGCTGTGGGAAGCACACGGAGGGGCAGAGGAGGCTGAATGCTCCAAGGTCAGACCCAGGAAGGGGGAAGCCGGGTGAGCTGTGTGTCCTGCAGACAGGCTGCTCACAGAAAGGAGTCTTCCCCAGAGTCCTGCCTGGCTTCGTAGGGAGCAGTTCCAGAGCATCGCCCAGGGACTCCGTGACATATACCCACCCACGGAAAACACACAGGGACCCCCCATGCCCCACCCAGCTCACACAGGAACCCCTCAGCCAGCCTGGGCCTGGCAGGGACCCCTAACACCCACCCCTGGAACCCGCCACCCAGAACCAACCCCCCTCTTAGCCCCCATAAAGACCCCCCCATCCATGGCTCTGCAGGGCCCTCAACCCCACAGAACCTGCATAGGGATCCCCCAATCCAGGGATCTACAGAGACCCCACCCATAGGACACCCTATTTGCAGCTCTACAGGGACCCCCAACTCCAACCCCCATGGGGAGCCCACCCCACCCAGGGATTTGCAGACACCCCCACCTAGAACCACCCCCTCATCCAGCCCGTCCCTGGAAGACCCTCCCCCACCCCCCAACAGCCTCTCACTCTTAGCTCAGTGGTTTGAGCACTGACCTGCTAAACCCAGGGTTGTGAGTTCAATCCTTGAGGGGGCCACTTAGGGATCAGGGCAGAAATTGGGGATTGGTCCTGCTTTGAGCAGGGGGTTGGACTAAATGACCTCCTCAGGTCCCTTCCAACCCTGATATTCTATGATTCTGTGATTCTTCCAGCCCCACTAGTAAGTCCCAGTTCTGATCCATCCCTGGTGGGTGTCAGCCCCACCCAGCAGAACCTGTACCCCCCCAAGATCCTCCCAACAGTTTCCCCCATGGGGATGCCTCCTGCAGAGGGAAACAAGGACCCAGCTCCACCGGGGGGCAGTGGTGGGGAGCCATGCTGGGGGTGCGCGGAGCCATGATGGAGGGTTACTCACCCGAGCACCCTTCTCACCATTGCTGCCAGGGAATCCAGGGAAGCCCTGAGATCCCTGTGGAGAGAGAAGAGATGGGGTTAGGGGGAGTGCTGGGGGGCAGAGTGGGGGGAAGAGGGGGTAGACCCACCATCCACAGCACTCACCTTCGGGCCTTGCCGTCCTGGGTATCCGGGAAGACCTGGTACGCCCAGCTTCCCCTGCAAGAGAGAGAGAGATGGGATTAGGGGGATGGGACATGGGGCCTTTCCCCACTTGGGGGCACCGGCTCTGATCCAGCCCCAGGGTGGGGGGCTGGCCGTTCAGGGGGGCAGGGAATGGGACACATGGCCTTTCCCCACTTGGGGGGGCCGTCTCCCATCTGGGCCCAGGGCAGGGACTGGCTGGCTCAGGGGGCAGGGAACAGGACACATGGGCAGGGGCCCACTCCCTCATGCTCGGCACTGCCCAGTCCTGCCCCATGCTGTCCAGGCTCCTCACCTTCTCTCCCACCAGTCCAAGGGGACCCGGGTCACCCGAGGGTCCGGTCCGGCCTTTGGGACCTTCCGGTCCATCCTCTCCTCTGGATCCTGGGACACCCACCTCGCCCTGTGGGTGCAGAGAGAATAGAGGAGTGGATGAGACTGGCATCGCCAGGAGCAGGCGGGCAGCGAGGGGCTCCGGGCATAAACTTACCCTGTCTCCTTTCACCCCGAAGTCGCCCTTGAACCCAGGGAATCCATCCTCACCCTGCACAGACAGACAGACACACCGGTGACAGTCGTACAGCCAGAGAGGTAAGGCCAGAAGGAACCAGCAGCTCAGCCGGTCCGATCTCCAGTATGTCACAGGCCACCAGCCCCACCCTGCCCCCGCACACGAACCCAGCACACGAGATGAGACCAAAGTGCCACAACCCCCGGGAGACTGGACTGTTACAGAGAACGGGGGGGGGGGGCCGAGGGGCACCAGGACCTGAGACTCTGCAATGGCAGGGAAAGGGTTAAGTGAGAGACACCCCCCCCGGATAATCCTGGCCAATGACCCACCCCCGGCTGCAGGGGAAGGTGAACCCCCCAGGTCACTGCCAGTCTGACCATACGGGGGGGGGGTGGTGAATTCCTGCCTAACCCCACCCACGGCGATCAGCTGTACCCTGCACATGAACGCAAGGACCAGCCAGCCATGCCCATGGGGGAGATAATGCTGGGTGCCCCCTCAGCGCCCGGCCCTCCCTGCCCAGGTCCCATCTCCAGGTGGGGCTGGCCCTGACGCTGCAGAGGGAAGAGAGTTAAAACAAAAAACATAGAATACACTGGGGAGGGGGAAATCCCTTCCTGATCCCTGGTCAGGGGTCTGCAGCTAGGGAGAGATGTGCACTATTCCCACAGCCTGGCACGAGGGGCCACCATGCACCATTACCCCACCTGGCACTAGGGGGCACCGTGCACCATTCCCCCAGCCTGGCACTAGGGTGCGCTGTGCACCAGTTCCCCAGCTGGGCACTAGGGAGTGCTGTGCGCCATTCCCCCAGTTTAGCAGTAGGGGGGCGCCGTGCACCAGTTCCCCCAGTTTAGCAGTAGGGGGCGCCGTGCGCCAGTTCCCCCAGCATGGCAGTAGGGGGCGCCGTGCGCCAGTTCCCCCAGCCTGGCACTAGGGGGCGCCGTGCGCCAGTTCCCCCAGCCGGGCACTAGGGGGCGCCGTGCGCCAGTTCCCCCAGCCGGGCACTAGGGGGCGCCGTGCGCCAGTTCCCCCAGCCGGGCACTAGGGGGCGCCGTGCGCCAGTTCCCCCAGCCGGGCACTAGGGGGCGCCGTGCGCCAGTTCCCCCAGCCGGGCACTAGGGGGCGCCGTGCGCCAGTTCCCCCAGCCGGGCACTAGGGGGCGCCGTGCGCCAGTTCCCCCAGCCGGGCACTAGGGGGCGCCGTGCGCCAGTTCCCCCAGCCGGGCACTAGGGGGCGCCGTGCGCCAGTTCCCCCAGCCGGGCACTAGGGGGCGCCGTGCGCCAGTTCCCCCAGCCGGGCACTAGGGGGCGCCGTGCGCCAGTTCCCCCAGCCGGGCACTAGGGGGCGCCGTGCGCCAGTTCCCCCAGCCGGGCACTAGGGGGCGCCGTGCGCCAGTTCCCCCAGCCGGGCACTAGGGGGCGCCGTGCGCCAGTTCCCCCAGCCGGGCACTAGGGGGCGCCGTGCGCCAGTTCCCCCAGCCGGGCACTAGGGGGCGCCGTGCGCCAGTTCCCCCAGCCGGGCACTAGGGGGCGCCGTGCGCCGTTTCCCCAGCCGGGCACTAGGGGGTGCTGTGCGCCGTTTCCCCAGCCAGGCACTCGGGGGTGCTGTGCAGTGCTGCCAGCATCATGTCTGACCTGCGGTTGAGGGTCAGGGAAGCAGAACTCACCTTCTCACCCTTGTGACCCTTCAGTCCCCGAATTCCATCCACGCCCTGGGAGAGACGGGGAGAGTTCAACAGGGTGAGCTGCACTGCAGAGACCAGCCACAGATCTAGGCAGAGAACCCAGGAGTCCTGGCTCCCAGCCCCCCCTACTCTAACCCACTGGACCCCACTCCCCTCCCCGAGGTGGGGATAGAACCCAGGAGTCCTGGCCCCCAGCCCCCCGGTCTAACCCACTGGACCCCAATACCCTCCCAGAGCTGGGATAGAACCCAGGAGTCCTGGCTCCCACTGGCTACAATCCTCTTGTCTTGTTTTCCACTCTAGCCAGAATCCTCTTCTCCCCTTGAGGGGCAGGGACCTCCTGGCTGCACCCATCCTTACTAAGAATTGTGGGTAATATCCCAGTCCCAGAGAGTCACGCCAAGTCCTGGGACCAATCAGCCGCTTACCTTCACACCACGTGGGCCTGGGTAGCCAATTGGACCTTGGGGACCAGACGGACCCTGCAATGGAGAGAAATCAGACCAATCACAGGGGAGAGTCGCTGGGGTCCCTGCTCCCTACTAGGGGGGTTTAGAATCAGGGATGGGAGAAATGTCACCCCACCAACCTGGGGGCTCTGACCCCTGCACCTTGGGGGACAGGGTCTTAGCACCTCACCCCTAGCACCTGGGGGGTTGTGACTTGGCCTCCGAAATCTGAAAGGGCTAGGACTGGGGGCGGGGCTCAACCCCAGTGTCTGAGGGAGATGGGGATATTGGGGTCGGGGGGACGACGGGGAAGGGGCAGGAGCGGACGTTATCCCCTTACCTGGTTACCTTTGGTTCCCGGCGGACCTTCCTTCCCCGGATGCCCCTGAGAGGGAGGGAATGGGAATGGGAAAGGGAAAAGACAGAGAGGGATGAATCATTAACACCAGCATCACAGCACTTAACCCCTGGGTGTTGCTCTGTCCCCCTGCCCAGGGAGCTACCCCAACATCCCACCCCCCGCTCCTGCGGAAAGGGCACTGCCCCCTGCCTGTGGGGCAGGAATAGCCCTCATCTGCCCAGCTCTGACCTGAACCTCTTTAACCAAGTGTTGGGGGACACCTGGCCTGCTCGGTGAGAATGGTCAGTGGTACAGGCTCACTTCCTGTTAAACATGGCCACCAGGTCCTTGCCCCATGAGCACGGGTGCGAGTGGGGGGTCAACAGGAAGTGATGCTAGCTCACTTCCTGTTAAACACGGCCACCTGGACCTCACCCATGAGCAGGGGTGCGAGTGGGGGGCCAACAGGAAGTGGTACGGGCTCACTTCCTGTTAAACATGGCCACCAGGTCCTCACCCCATGAGCGGGGGTGCGAGTGGGGGGCCAACAGTGAGTGGTACTAGCTCACTTCCTGTTAAACATGGCCGCCAAGTCCTCACCCCATGAGCAGGGGTGCGAGTGGGGGGCCAACAGGAAGTGGTACTAGCTCACTTCCTGTTAAACATGGCCACCAGGACCTCACCCCATGAGCAGGGGTTAGAGTTGGGGGCCAACAGGAAGTGATGCTACCTCACTTTCTGTTAAACATGGCCACCAGGACCTCACCCATGAGCAGGGGTGCGAGTGGGGGGCCAACAGGAAGTGGTACAGGCTCACTTCCTGATAAACATGTCCACCAAGTGCTCACCCCATGAGCAGGGGTGCGAGAGGGGGGCCAACAGGAAGTGGTACGGGCTCACTTCCTGTTAAACATGGCTGCCAAGTCCTCACCCCATGAGCAGGGGTTAGAGTTGGGGGCCAACAGGAAGTGATGCTACCTCACTTTCTGTTAAACATGGCCACCAGGACCTCACCCATGAGCAGGGGTGCGAGTGGGAGGCCAACAGGAAGTGGTACAGGCTCACTTCCTGATAAACATGTCCACCAAGTGCTCACCCCATGAGCAGGGGTGCGAGAGGGGGGCCAACAGGAAGTGGTACGGGCTCACTTCCTGTTAAACATGGCTGCCAAGTCCTCACCCCATGAGCAGGGGTTAGAGTTGGGGGCCAACAGGAAGTGATGCTACCTCACTTTCTGTTAAACATGGCCACCAGGACCTCACCCATGAGCAGGGGTGCGAGTGGGAGGCCAACAGGAAGTGGTACAGGCTCACTTCCTGATAAACATGTCCACCAAGTGCTCACCCCATGAGCAGGGGTGCGAGAGGGGGGCCAACAGGAAGTGGTACGGGCTCACTTCCCGTTAAACATGGCTGCCAAGTCCTCACCCCATGAGCAGGGGTGTGAGTGGGGGGGCCAACAGGAAGTGGTACGGGCTCACTTCCTGTTAAACATGGCCACCAGTCATTGCCCCAAAGCGGGGAGGGGGCACTGCTCAAGAGCATCTCTGTGATGAGGGGGCTGTGACAAAATGGGACTGTTCTTAATGTTTCCTCTGAATAGCGTGGGGGTGCCTCAGTTTCCCTATGCAGTTCTTAAGTATCTAGGGGGTGGGATAAGGGTGTACGATCGTTGCAGAGCCCTAGAGGGCAGGTGTGTGCAGGGGTCTGGACACAGGGAATGGCCGACACCTGGCAACTGATGGCCTGGGCCCTTCTCCCCTGCAAGGTGAGAGCTAAAGGGTTGGAGAACAAAGGAATCAGGTGCCCTCCTGTCCCGGGAAAGGGGCAAAGCCCAGAGGAGGAGGGGCTGGGGGGAGTTTCAGTTTGGGGCTGGCTGGGACATGGAGTGAAGGGCAGACGGGGTTGTCTGGCTCACTGCCCCCCAAAATGGACCCAGCTGAGGGGTTCTATTCTCTGCACCTGCAAGCTCTGTTTTAGACCATGTTCCTGTCATCTAATAAACCTTCTGTTTTACTGGCTGGCTGAGAGTCCCGTCTGACTGCGGAGTTGGGGGACAGGACCCTCTGGCTTCCCCAGGACCCCGCCTGGATGGACTCGCTGTGGGAAGCGCACGGAGGGGCAGAGGAGGCTGAATGCTCCGAGGTCAGACCCAGGAAGGTGGAAGCCGGGTGAGTTGTGTGTCCTGCAGACAGGCTGCTCACAGGAAGGCGACTGCCCCAGAGTCCTGACTGGCTTCATGGGGAGCAGTTCCAGAGCATCGCCCAGGGACTCCGTGACAGGGGCCTCTACAGGAAATATGAGCTCACTTCCTGTTAAGCATGGCTGCCCCACCCTTGCACCCATGCCAAGGTCAGGCCAGACGTCAAGAGGAAATGGCACTGGCCCACTTCCTGTTAAACATGGCTGCCGGGGTCTCGCCCCAGGGGCGGGAGGGAGCCATGCCGTGCAGGATGCCAACAGTATGGGCTCACTTCCTGTTAAATATGGCCGCCGTATTGCCATTCTGGGGCTGGGGGAATCTGGGGGCCAGGGTGCTAGGAGGAGAGGGTAGAAGGAAGGAGAGGAGTAGCTGGGGTGAGCAGGTTACTCACGGGAGGCCCGTCGGACCCCGGCATGCCGGGGAGGCCAGGTTTGCCTCTGGGACCCTGCAGAGAGAGAGAGAAAAGCAGAGCTCAGAGCTGGCAGAGCAGAGACCCTCATTGTGTGAGCCAGGCTGGTGCAGGGGGTGGGGGCTACACAACACCAGGGGAGCAGGGGAGGTTTGGGGCACTCACCTTCTCTCCGGGGGGCCCCATAGCACCTTGTGGGCCAGGCAATCCCTGAAAGAGAGACACATGGTCAGATCTAGCCCCCACTCCCCACCCAGAGCCAGGGAGAGACTCCAGGAGTCGCTCCCAGCTCCCCCTGCTCTAATCCACTGGACCCCACTCCCCACCCAGAGCGGGGACGCAACCCAGGAGTCCTGACTCCCCGCCCCACTGGACCCCGAGTCCCCAGAGCTGGGCTGTTTCAGGGCAAGGGTATTCCTTACCTGGGTGCCTGGAGTTCCCTGCTGACCTGGGGGGCCTGGCTCGCCTTGCGGCCCCTGTAACAGTCAGACACAACTGCAGTTAGAACCAGAACGACCTGCATGTTATACAGAAGGGAGAGAGGGCACTGCTGTAGGGGAAGTTCACAACACTGGGATCACTGGATGGGGGCACTGCTATAGGGGAAGCTTGCAGCACCAGAGACCCCATTTAGGGCACTGCTGTAGGAGAAGCTCGCAGCACTGGAGTCCCTGACTTGGGGCACTGCTGTAGGGGAAGCTCACAGCACTGGCGTCCCTGGGTGGGCCAACCCAGTCCATAGCAGGACCTGGCAGCGCAGACAGACAGACAGACAGCCGTGCCGACTCACCAGGTTCCCTTTGGGCCCGATGGGACCATCTATGCCACGCACGCCCTGCGGAGGAGACAGACAGACAGATGGAGGTTAATGTGGTGGGGGTCACGGGGGGCTGGGGGAATTGGGATGCCATGTGTGGCACTTACCAGAGGCCCGGGGATCCCTGGTGGGCCTTTGGGTCCAAGCAAACCTCTGGGTCCCTGCAGGGAGGGGAGAGACCCGAGTTAGTGAGGCTGTAGGGACTAAGCTGGGCCTGGGTCCCCCACCAGGGCTGCGGGGGGAGCCAGCAATTGCCCCCCCCAGCCCAGCAAACAGCAGCACACGTGCACCCAGACATGCACACCCTGAACCAGCCCACACTCCCGGCACCACACTGAGCAAGCAACACATAAGCCCTGGAGCTGAGGACCCCATGAGGACGCTGCTCCGTGGTGCAGACCCTGCTCCTGCTCCGATCCCAGACCCTGTGGCCTGGGCCGCGTGCTGGGGTGAAACCCCAGAGCATCCTGGGACATGGCGCTAAGACCCCTCAGTTTCACTGCAACGAGACGCCGCGGGCGCCCGTATTAGGAGACGCTGGGCCCTTGTGGAGTCTGCCAGGGGCAGGCACAGAGGGACCCCACAGGCCAGTTCCCCAGCTGGTGTTGCTCTGTCCCCGACGCCCGGCCCCAGACAGCTCATCCATCCACCCCACGGGTAGCAAGGGCTAACCCCCAAACAGCTTCCGGAGGCTTGCCCAAAAGGGAACTGCTCTCGGGGAAGAGCGTTCTGGGCGACGGGGATACGGGCACCATGTGGGAATGTTCACACCGCTCAGGCTCTCGATAAACCCAGTGTTTCAGAGAGTCCAGACACTTGCATTTGTCCTGGATTTTACTACCAAATACCCCAGGAGAGAGGATTTTGGTGGGTTCTCATCCTCCCCCCACCCCAGGCTGTAGCTTTTCCAAACAGCGTCAAATCTGTAAATGTAACAGAGCCGCAAGAGCGGGGAAGGGACAGGAGAAAAGAGAAAACAAACCCAACCAAACCCCAACCCTGCCCTAACACCAACGCCGACTCCAACTCCAACGTCCACCCCAACCCTATCGCCGACCACAACCCTAACGCCAACTCCAACGCCAAGCCCACCCCACTGTCAACTCCCACTCTAAGCCTAACGCCAACCCTAGGACCAACTCCAACACCAATCTCAGCCCTCACGCCAATGCCAGCCCCAATACCAACACCTAGCCCAATCCTAGTGCCAGCCCCGATCCCTGCCTGGGTCCCATTTTCCAAACTGATCTGTCAGAGTGTTCCCTGCACTAGTCGGCGCTCCCCTGTCGAAAGCTGGCTGCAGTCCCATCCCGTGGCTCCCCAACAGCAGGGCCTTAGCACCCCCAGTTTTCAGCTCACCCCTCACGGTGTCTTTAGGGACCCAGGCTGGGATTTTCAAATTGAGTCTAGGGCCCCAACTGGATCCCTTCCACGCCGTGCCAACCCTTGGCTATATCCTGCCAATTTCAAACTCCTCCCCTCCGCACTGCCAGCTCCTGAGGCACCAAGGAGTCCAGTCCCGGCAATACCGGGAACAATACCGGGAGCTGGGGGCACAGGAGAGGGGGCAGTTTGGACATAAATGGGAGCAGATGGAGGTTTGGGGATAAACCATTAACTGGCTTGTTTCTGCTGAAGTGAGGGCGGTGAAGCAGTTAACGTTGAGCTTTGATTTTGCCATCAGTAGGTTGAATGGTTAATGGTGATTTTATGGAAAGGGGTTAGCACAGGGGTGGGCAAACTATGGCCCGCGGGCCGTGTCCAGCCCGTCAGACCTTTTAATCCGGCCCTCGAGCTCCCGTCGGGGAGCGGGGTCGGGGGCTTGCCCCTCTCTGCGCGTGCCATGGCTCTGCGTGGCTCCCGGAAGCAGCGGCATGTCCCCCCTCCGGCTCCTGCATGTAGGGGCAGCCAGGGGGTGCCTCAGGCTGCCCCCGCCCCAAGCGTTGCCCCCGCAGCTCCCATTGGCCGGGAACCGCAGCCAGTGGACGCTGCAGGGGTGGCGCCTGCGGACAGAGCAGCACGCAGAGCCACACGGCCGGTGCCACGCCTCCGCAAAGGACCCGGAGCGGGGACATGCCACTGCTTCCGGGAGCTGGTTGCGGTAAGTGCCGCCCAGAGCCTGCACCCCTGACCTCCTTCCGTGCCCCAACCCCCTGCCCCAGCCCTGATCCCCCTCCCGCCCTCCGAACCCCTTGGTCCCAGCCTGGAGCCCCCTTCTGCACCCCAAACCCCTCATCCCTGGCCCCACCCCAGAGCCCGCACCCCCAGCCCCATTTTCATGAGCATTCATGGCCTGCCATACAATTTCCATATCCAGATATGGCCCTCAGGCCACAAAGTTTGCTCACCCCTGGGTTAACAACACAGAGCTGAGAGCCAAGGGGCTGAGAATCAAGGCTCTGCTGGGGCAGTTGCCTGCCCTCAGAGCAGTGGATTCAGACAGGGCCAGAACAGGGAGGATTGTGGGGCCCAATTCCATGGAGTGTAGGGGGAGTAAATCCCTGGCAGGGGGTGGGTGGGGAGAACAGGGTAAATGGGGCCCTGATTATCCCTCTGCACCACCCTGGGGAGCTGCCCCCTCTCGCACTGGCACAAGCTCCTGCTGCCTGCCTGGCAGGGAGGGGACGTACCGGTTCTCCAGGGAGCCCTCTGGGGCCGACCTCTCCATCGTCTCCCTGGGGGAAGAGAAAAAGGGGGTGAGGCAGAGAACGGGGAGGGGAGCAAGCTCAGCTGCCCCACAGCCATCCCTGCTCCCCGTTTCCAGATCCCTCTGCTCCCCCCACCTCCAGCCCCCTCCATCACCCCATTCCCCTTCTCCATATTCCCCACAGCTCTCCCACATCTCCCTCCCCGGGGAGCCACCCCAGCTCCCCTCAGTCTCCCTCCCATGCCCCCCCCCGACCCTCCAGTGAGCAGTTACTCACCCGCTGTCCGTCCTCACCAGGGGGGCCTGGGATGCCCTGGGAACCCGTCTCACCCTGCGGGGACAAAGCCTTGGATCAGCTGGGCGGGCGGGTGGGGAGCCATGGGGGTTGTGTACGTGGGATGCGCAGGTGCTTGGGGGGTGGCTGTGTGTGTGATGGGGACGCGGCTGTATGTGCCGTGGGGGTGACTGTGTAATTGCAGGGGGGTGGGGGTGCATTGCAAACGTGCCGGATGTGTATGTGTTGGGCTGTGAACTGCGTGCAGCTGTGTTGTTGTGCGCAATTGCAGATGTGCTGTGTGTATTGTTGCGTATCTGAGTGTGTGCACATACAGTTAGGAGAGCGTTGTTGTGTGCACGGTTGTAGCTATGTGACTGTGTGATTGCACACACCTGGCTGCACAAGTGCGCTGGGGAGGCTGTGCGTCTACTGCACGGTGCGGTGTGTTTGTGGTGACACGGCTGCGGGGATGTGTGTGTGCAGGAGGTGTCTAGCGTTCCGCGTGGCTGTGTGCGTTGCACAAGTTGCGTAAGACTGTGCGTAGATTCTGAGGCCAGAAGGGCTCGGCTGCCCCTGCGTTGCTCCGGCCGCTGGTCTGCCCCGAAACAAGCCCTGCTGGAACTAGAGTGCGTATATCTGTGTGTGTAGATACGCGTGTGCGTGCGGGTAGGGCGGCGGCTCTGGCTGTGTGGTGTACAGTTGTGTGTCTGTGTGTGTATCAATGCTCAGAGGGGGGTGCACAATTGTGTAGCACACACATGGGCTGGCCAGAACTGACCGCGGGGCGGCCCCATCTCTCAGGGAGATCCCAACAGTGTACCAGGACCGGGCCCCCCCTGCTCCCCGCACCACGAGGCCCCCGGCCAACATGACTCACCCTGTACCCCTTGTCCCCCGGCAGCCCCGGCAACCCGTCAAAGCCTCGGTCGCCCTGCGGAGAGAAGCACAGAACAGCTCCCTGAGCCAGCACACCCCAGCTGGGGAGACACCCCCGTAGGACCCCCTCCCAGGTCACCCCATCCCCAGGAGGTGGGCTGCAATTCCCCACTGGGAACAAGGGTGGGCCTGTCACGCACAGGCCCCCGGGATCCTTGTTCTGAAGCAGTGATGTTCCCACACAGAATGGGAGGGTCGCTGGTTGAGTTAGTGGGTCTCCAACGTGCTAGAGTGGATCACTGGTGCACGAGGATCACCACGCTGCATGGGTGGGTTACCAGGACAGTGCATCACCAGGATATTAGTGCATCACCAGGATATTCGTGCATGCTCTGAGTGGATCACTCACACAGCAAATGACTAGATCGCTAATGGATCATCATGCTGAATGAGTGAGTTGCTGGAAGAGTGGATTACCACTGGATTCATGGATAAATAGCTCAGGTGATCTAGTGATCTTCAGTGCCTTCACCTCATGGACTATTGGTGGATTTGCAGGGGTGGTGACCTAGTGGATTACCAGCAACGCAACCTACTGGATCAACACTGCTACAGCCCAGTGGGTCACCAGAGCAGTGACCTACTGGATCATCTGTGGATCTACAGTGCTAGGACCTAGTGGATCACCAGCCCAAGGAGGCCAGGCCCTGATTGGTCCCCTGGGCAGGCTCACACCCAGTGCCTTGTCCACGGAAGCCATGACCCTGTTACCTTAACACCAGACTCCCCGGGCATCCCCCGAGCGCCGTCGGCTCCAGCACGACCCTGCCAGAGAGAGACAGAGACGGGATGAGAGGCGGCTCACCGGGCACAGACCTGCCCCCACCCTGGGGTATCCCCACCAGGATCCACACACTTACCCTCCTTCCAGGCTTCCCCGGGGGGCCAGACAGGCCCTGTGGCCCGCGGGGTCCCTACAGAGAAAGAGGGAGGGAAAGGGTGAGCAGAGCTTCCCGCACAAGCCGCTTGGGCAGGGAGGAGAAGAGGGAGATACGGGGGTGGGAGCTCTCCAGGGCCGAGGGGCTAATGCGGGGGTCTGGGGGCTCAGATCAGGGTTAGGCTCCAGGGTGGGACGGGGCTCCTGGGGTCAGACAGGGGGGTTCTTCCCCAGTGTCTGAGGGGTTAATGAGGGGTGGGGTGACAGAGAGTGGTAACAAAGGGTAAACAGAGGGGCGGGCGGCAGTGACCCCAGCTCTGGGTCAGGGTTATAAGTCACAGGAGCCTGGGATCCAAACAGCCCAGAAGAAATCCAGCATCGGAACCAGGGGTCAGAGGTCGCTTGCCAGCGTCAGGGGTTAGACGTCAAGGTCAGGGGCCACTGATCGTGAGTTAGGGTCACAGAACAGAGGTGGGGGTCACGGGTCATTCACGCTGGTCAGGGGCCAATGATTGGGAGTAAGGGTCAGAGACCAGGGTCATGGGCTGGGGAGAGAGGTCATGGTGAAGGGGTCAGGGACTGGGGTCAGAGGTCAGGGACTGGGGTCAGAGTGAAGGGGTCAGAGGTCAGTGGCTGAGATCAGAGGTCAGTGACAGGGGTCATGTCCATGGGTCGGAGCAAGAGGTCAGGGCAGGAGCCAGGGGTCAGAGTCGGGGTCGTGCTGGGCTCCAACCCCCCAATCTCCTGCCAAGGCCAAGCCTGTTACCTGGGGTCCAAAGTCTCCGGCTTCCCCCTTCAGCCCGGGGCCCCCTGGCTGCCCCTGGAATGAGACAGCAGAGCAGAGGGGGTTACCTGGGGGCAGCACGTGGGCTCAGGGCCACAACCCTCCCCACAATCTCCCCAGGGCGCTGGGACCCACAGAACCCGGGGACGTGAAATTCCAGTGACACCAGCCCCACTCCCTGCCCCACATCCCGGGGCACTGGGACCCACAGAACCTGGGGACGTGAAACTCCAGTGACCACAGCCCCACATGCCCAGAGCACGGGGAACACAAGGACATGAAGCCCTAGTGACTCCAGCACTCTGTGTCCCACCCCAGGGACAAGCCAACACGTTCCCCCTAAGCCCTGACACCCGCCCCCACATCCCCAGAGCACCAGCCATCAAGCGATGCCTCCTCCCAACCCCATCCCGGAGCAGGTACCTACCAGGGGCCCAGGCCGGCCAGTGTATCCCATGGGTCCCGGGGGGCCACGCAGGGCCATCTAGGAGAGAGAGAGGAGAAGGAGAATTAGACTGCAGCAAGCCAGGATCTCCGCCAAACACAGAACAAAGCAGGGAATAAGGGGTGGGACTAGAACAGGGCTGAGCCGGAAACATGGGGATCCAGAGAATTATTGGGACTTGGGGGGTAAGAACAGGGTCCCAGTTGGGGATCTAAGAGGGGAATAAAACATGAATTTATCAGCATCTATAGACTGGAGGGAAAACAGTGACACTCATGTTCTAGAAGAGAAGCTACAGACTTACTGGGGTTTTAGGAAAGAGCACATTGTGATGTCATCAGGGTTCTAGAAGGGGACAAGCATGGTCCTAGCATGTTTGATGGGGGTTCTAGGGGGGTGACAAGGTGGGGCCTCATTGGAGTTCTAGAAAAGGAGAAATTGTGATTTGATCAGCACTCAGGAGGGTTAATAAGGTTTGAAGGGAAGATCAATCAAATCACAGTCTTAAGGCAATGATCCATGATAGTCTTGGGGTTCTAGAAATGCAGTAAAATGTTTTGTTACACTTGCAAGGGTTCTAGGTGGGCACAGACTGTAACCCCCATGGTTCCAGGAGAGCAGTTGATTGTAATCTCGTCTGGGTTCTAGAAGGGCAGGGATGTTGTTGAAGAGCTACTTAACCATAACGTTATAAATGAATCTAGAAGGGCAACGAACAGGGATCTGCTGAGATTCTAGAAAGGTGACAAACCATTATCCTGCAGTTCTAGAGTGGCAGTAAATTGTGACCTTGGGGAAGCTCTGGAAGGGTGTGACGAAGTGGGACTGTTCTTAATGTTTCCTCTGAATAGTGTGGGGGTGCCTCAGTTTCCCCTAGGCAGTTCTTAAGTATCTAGGGGGTGGAGTAAGGGTGTATGATCATTGCAGAGCCCTAGAGGGCATGTGTGTGCAGGGGTCTGGACACAGAGAATGGCCGACACCCTGTTTCCTGGCAACTGATGGCCTGGGCCCTTCCCCCCCTGCAAGGTGAGAGCTGAAGGGTTGGAGAACAAAGGAATCAGGTGACCACCTGGCCCGGGAAAGGAACAAAGTCCAGAGGAGGAGGGGCTGGAGGGGGGTTTTCAGTTTGGGGCTGGCTGGGACATGGAGTGAAGTGCAGACGTGGTTGTCTGGCTCACTGCCCCCCAAAATGGACCCAGCTGAGGGGTCCCGTTCTCTGCACCTGCAAGCTCTGTGTTAGACCATGTTCCTGTCGTCTAATAAACCTTCTGTTTTACTGGCTGGCTGAGAGTCACGTCTGACTGCGAAGTTGGGGTGCAGGACCCTCTGGCTTCCCCAGGAGCCCCGCCTGAGCGGACTCGCTGTGGGAAGCGCACGGAGGGGCAGAGGATGCTGAATGCTCCGAGGTCAGACCCAGGAAGGTGGAAGCTGTGTGAGCTGCGTGTCCTGAAGACAGGCTGCTCACAGAAAGGCGACTGCCCCAGAGTCCTGACTGGCTTCATGGGGAGCAGTTCCAGAGCATCGCCCAGGGACTCCGTGACAACTGGTGGCAGCGGTGGGATGTACTGCACCCCGTGGATGGTGCTTCCTGCAGTAAGTGACTGGGGAGCAGTAACACGAAGGGGGATTGCTGAGGACCAGGCCTGCTGAAGGCTCAGAGAGGAGCGGTTTCGGGGGGCGGTTAACCCCTGGGAGTGTGTGACCAGCGAGAAGGACTGTGCAGTAACAGGGTTCCCCTGGGGATTGCAGCGAGCAGTCCAAGGGGCGGAGGAGTCTGCAGCTCGACCCTGGCAAAGAGGGGGTGACCTCGAGAAGGGCTGGCACACTAGGGGTTCTCCCTGGAAACCGTGGGGAGCTGAGAACACACGGGCCTGTGAGTCCACAACAACTTGGGAAGAGCGGAGTGACGGCCTGTCACTGTCTCCTTAAGAAGGACATTGTAACCCTGTGCAAAAAGAGAGGGTTGAGCGTTGGAAAGTTCACCAAAGCAGAGTTAATCGTGCAGCTGGAGGAGGATGACCGCTCTAAGGAACAGATTCCTGACCCCAACTGGGGCTATAGCAGGATCTGGGAGCAGCTGAAGCGGGAGCCAGGCATCGCCAAGACTCCTGTCCCCGACCAGACGGGGGTCTTCACGATCGGGCCCCATCGGGGGATCGAGACGGACGGGATTGGAGCTGAGTCTGAGAGAGCAAGAGGACCGTGGGAGACAGCGAGAGCCCGAGAAAGAGCTGCAGAAGCAGCAGCAGCATGAACTGGCGGTGGGGGGAGCGGAGAGGCCTAGGGGACCTCCCCGGGGTGAGTGGGGATAGATCCCGGGGGGCCAGTTCCGCAGGGAACCTCGAGACTAAATTGCTGCCCCTGGTTAAGGAGGGGGGGGTGTGGATGCCCACCTCACTGCCTTTGAGCAGGCTGGCGATTTGAACCAAGGGGACCCTGCGGAAAAGCCCCGGTGTCTAGCTCCCTTGCTGGGTCCCAAGGCCATAGACTCCGTCAGCCAGATGGGTGGGGATGTGGACAGGCTCCCACTCCTGACCCCAACCTATATGTCTGTGTGGAGTTTCCTGGGGCCAGGCCCCTTGGACCTCCAGTGGGAGCAGAAGGTGATGGTCAATGGGGAGACATTCTTGGGGTGGCCAAAGGGCATGGGCTGCATAAACCTTCCCACATGCGGCCTGCGAGTGCTATCGACCACCCCTGACCTAAGGGAGGGCGTGAAACTGGAAGGGCCTGGTGTAACTCCTATCAAGGAATGGGAGAGATGCTGGGTCATCCATGGGAACGTTGGTGGCTTCGAACTTCCACAGGTCACCAGCTAAAGTGACCCCGCTCAGTTCGATCTCGAAGGGGGGAGAGATGTGACGAAGTGGGACTGTTCTTAATGTTTCCTCTGAATAGTGTGGGGGTGCCTCAGTTTCCCCTAGGCAGTTCTTAAGTATCTAGGGGGTGGAGTAAGGGTGTATGATCATTGCAGAGCCCTAGAGGGCATGTGTGTGCAGGGGTCTGGACACAGAGAATGGCCGACACCCTGTTTCCTGGCAACTGATGGCCTGGGCCCTTCCCCCCCTGCAAGGTGAGAGCTGAAGGGTTGGAGAACAAAGGAATCAGGTGACCACCTGGCCCGGGAAAGGAACAAAGTCCAGAGGAGGAGGGGCTGGAGGGGGGTTTTCAGTTTGGGGCTGGCTGGGACATGGAGTGAAGTGCAGACGTGGTTGTCTGGCTCACTGCCCCCCAAAATGGACCCAGCTGAGGGGTCCCGTTCTCTGCACCTGCAAGCTCTGTGTTAGACCATGTTCCTGTCGTCTAATAAACCTTCTGTTTTACTGGCTGGCTGAGAGTCACGTCTGACTGCGAAGTTGGGGTGCAGGACCCTCTGGCTTCCCCAGGAGCCCCGCCTGAGCGGACTCGCTGTGGGAAGCGCACGGAGGGGCAGAGGATGCTGAATGCTCCGAGGTCAGACCCAGGAAGGTGGAAGCTGTGTGAGCTGCGTGTCCTGAAGACAGGCTGCTCACAGAAAGGCGACTGCCCCAGAGTCCTGACTGGCTTCATGGGGAGCAGTTCCAGAGCATCGCCCAGGGACTCCGTGACAAAGGGCACTGACCACTATGTGGTATGGAATCTTAAAGAGCAATAAAAGAGTGATCCTTAACATGGTTCTAGAAAGATAATAAATTGTGATCCCACTGAGGTTCTGGGATCGAGAACCCACTGAGGTTCTGGGTAATCGAGAACCCAGATACCCATTTGGTATCTGGGTTCTCGATTACCAAATTTATCAGGGCTCCAGGGTAGGAGATAAGGCAGGATCTTTTCCTACCCTGACCCGGCCCAACTCTCCCTGCCCTGTCTCCACTTTAGACTTACCCGGGCTTGCTGTAAAATGGCCTGCGCTTGTGCCTCTTGTGCGGACACCGCGGGCCCCTTGTCTCCACCGCTGCTCCCAAACCGAAACTGGGGGAGGAAAGACAAACCTTCAGGTGTGAAAATCACACTGCCACCATCCCTGAACTCACAGCAAAATCCCAGAACTCACACCACCCTCCCAGAACTGGGCTCCTGGGAGACATACCCGGAGCCCTCCCTAGAGCTCCAGAGCCCAAGGCCTGCTCTGTCCTTCACACGTCACGATGCCGGGGGGCGAGGGAGGGGGGGAAGCAGATCACATTGCCAGAGCTCCCCTGGCCTGTTGTAGATTCCCAGAGATTTGCTGCAACCTATCCAATTCCAGGCTGCATTCCTGGTACTCTCCCTTCTCGTCTAGACTCACACATATCCACTGCATGCTCTACGATTCTAGGTAATACTACCAGAGTGCCCATTTCTGTTCCATACACAGATAAGCGCACCATGTAGGCTTGCTAGTTTCAGGTAATGCTATCAGGGTTCACCCTTCTATTCTAGACTCCCTGCATCATCTTTGGTTCTAGATAATGCTATTAACACTAGCCTTTCTGTTCTTAACTCACTGTGCTCTCCAGTTCTAGATCACGCTACGAGAGCTCTCCCTTCTATCCTAAATTCCCATATCCCTATTATATTATCTACATTTCCAGAGAACAGCACCAGAGTCTCCCTGTCCTGTTCTAGATTCCACACAGGCCCATCCACTGTGCAATCTCCAGTTCTAGATCACAGGTTTTTCTTCTAATCTAGACCTAGACATCTTTTGTGGTTTTAGGTAATATTTGTAGAATCCATCTTGTCTGTTACAGATTTATACTCTAAGATGCCTCTGTTTTAGGAGTTACTCTCTGGGTTCTACATTCAAATAGCCCCACTACATACTAACCAGGACTAGCTAAGAGAATCAGCCTCCTCTTTCCCACATCTTAGATCCTCACAGATCCACTCTAAAATCTTCAGTTCTAGATCACAGTACTAGAGTTCCCCTTTTTGTTTTAGACTTCAGCTGACCCACTGTATCCTCCCCAGTTCTACCATCTCTGTTCTCTCATCCCTTTTAGATTCCTACAGGTCCATCTATCCTCTCTGGTTCTAGGCCATGCTATCAGAGTTCCTCTTGTTTTACTCTAGACCCCGCAAGCCCACTGTATAGGCTACAGTATTAGGTATCTGAGTTCTTGAGCCCCATAGACCCATTTTATCATCTACCAGTTCTGGATACTGCTATCTGAGCCCCATGCCTGCCCTAGATTTCCACAGACACATCATATTGTCCCTAGTTCTAGGTAACACAGTGAGAGTCTTCCTTGATTTATTCAAGACCCACAAACCCACATTATCCTTTCTGGTTCTAGATCACACAAATTAGTTCTCCTGATCTTATTCTAGACCTCAGAGCCCCCACCTTCCATATACTTCTTGTTCCAGCTCCCACAAGTATTTCGTCTAGTTTTATTCTAGAGCCCACAGAGCCACCCCAGTTCTAGGTCACCCTATCAGCACCTTCCCCTGCTGTTCTAGACCCTAGTCAGCCTGTGTTAGCCCATTCCATTCCAGACTGCAGCAGCCCCATCATTAACCCATCAAACACCTCCTCACTCACCGGGAGCATGAGGGACGTGCCAGGGGGTCCAGGCATCCCATCCGAGCCAGGGAGACCTGAACGGCCAGGAGGACCCTGTTGGAGGGAGACGCAGAGCGGGAGGTTATTGCATGGGGACGGGGCCTGCGATCTTCCCCTCAGACAGTGCTGCTGCTGCCCCTGCACGTCTCAGCAACCACAGCCCCTCCAGCGCTGCACCCATCTTCCCCACACACAGTGCCAGCCTCATATTCTCCCAACACCCTGACACACACTGGCCTTGCCGGGATCTCTGGCCTACCTCCAAACACCCCAGGCCATCGGCGCTGTGTATGCACACGCATGCACAATCCCACACGCTAATGCTTGCACACTCCGAGGTACTCACACGCCCGGCGCCTTCCCCAGCCAAGGGGGCACAATGACATCCCACCCCAGCACACATTCGCACCTCACCATGCAAACTCACGTTCACTCCTCCCTTGGAAGGGGGGCCGCGGTCTCCCCAAGAGCTGGTGCTGGACCCACAACCCCTGCCGTGGGGCCAGGTTCCAGCTCGCACTCACCCTCTCACCAGGATCTCCTGGGGGGCCCGGAGGGCCCTGTGTGCCCGGCGGCCCTGATATGCCCTGAGGAAACACATGAGAGACACACAGTGAGGTTAATGCACCAGCAGGGGGATCTGCCCCCAGCCCCAGAGCATCCCCCAGAACTCCCCGGACGGACAAACAGACAGGCTCTTACCGCAGGTCCCTCAGGGCCGGGGGGGCCCTCCACCAGCATTCCCTGCAGAACAAGAGGCAGAGAGCAGGGTTACGCCACCGACAGGCCCAGGTGGGGCAAGGGCAGAGTGGGCCCGGGGTGGGGGGCGATAAAGCCCCCAGCTGAGGAGGCCTTGGACAGACACAGCCCCTGGCCAGGAGGCATCCTAGAGAGACTGGGGACTGCCCAGGTGAGTTTGAAAAGGGGGAAGGTCTCCCGGCTCATCCACACCCCTCGCCCACTCCCCCCATCAGGAGAGACAGCCACTGGCTGTGCACACACGACAGGGCACCCTCCCACGCACATAGACATCTACTAACACAAACATGCAAATACAGTGGCATGCATGCACCAGAGTGTGCAAATACACACAGACACACATGCTGTGGTGCGTAACAGATGCACACACATGGGAACTAACACCTACACGCAAACTAGATGTGCACTCACAGGCACTCACAAATATACATTTGCACACGCATACACAATTGTGCAAGCACCGACAGACAGGTACAAAGGTGAATCTGCAGGCAGAGGCCTGTGCAAACTCATGCACACACTCAGGGGCACATGCAACATATGTGCACACACATGATTCTTCCCCCTGGAAGTGTGACAATACATATATGCTTGTTCACACAGGTGTGCAGGGACACGCACACGTCCCATCCTGCCGTGCGCACCCTGCCCCCCTGCACACATACACTCGTCTGTGCCTATCATCACACGATAGATCACTACGTCCATCACACACACACACAACCCCGGGGGGGCTCCAGGCCCAGATGACCTGTGACGGGGCATTCAGGGCGTGCTGATCCCTGAACAGGGCAGGGGCTGAGACAGGACAGGAGGCGTTGGGGGGGGGCTCTGTCCCATGCACAGCAGGATATCCTGCTCCTGCCACAGGGTGCATTGGGGGCTGCATGGGGGTGGGGCACCCCAAGGCCCGGACTATGCAGAGATGGGCAACGTCCAGGCATGGACAATGGAGGGGCTGGTGGGATCAACTGATCTCCCCCTAACCCGTCGACGCAGAGACCTACCGGTTCCATGACGGCCGGCTCTCCCTTCTCTCCTTTGTAGCCTCTGACTCCGCGCACAGCCTGGGGGTAACACACATATAACCGCAAAGAGTGGCCCGGTCAATATAACACACCCGAGGCCCACTCTGGCACCCTCCCATCCCTGCAAATCCCAGCTCCCCCATCGGGCGGCAGGGCTCATCGAGCACCACTCAGCCGCACCACCCCGAGGCTCTGTTATCTGAGACTCCCTGTCCCCCATGGTCTGAGGAAAAATGGAGTAACGGTGAAGGAAATGCAGATCAGGGTCTGTGTAAATGTGGAGTAAAGTCTGAGTAAAGCTGAAGTAAACCTGGGGCAGGCTCTGTGTAAGGCCTCAGGATCGTGTCCCAACCCTTCAGTTATCCGCCTGCAGCCTAGGGAGACAAGGCTGCCGTTTCTCATTGGAACCCACCCTCGCCCCTATCAGCTCCCTTGGAGCCTCTGGGCCTGTTGAGTTAGGATTCTCCGTTAGCTCTGAGCTAATCAATGCATCGCAACCCACAGCAGCTCTGAAGGGAAACTGAGGACAGGTCACATCACCAGGTGAAACACACCCCAGGGGAGGCGGTCAGGGGGAGGAGAGATTTAAAGGTCCACATCTGGAGATGCCCCAGCCCTAAATCGCCAGCCCCATCGAGATGGCAGCGTGCGGGGAGGGGAATTACCGCATCCCTTTTGGAGGTTACCCCCCAAATCGGTAATTGACACCAGCGCGGCCAATACTCGGGGAGGTGGGTGAATAACAGAGATGGCCGTACGTGGGGATGACATCACAGGGCGTAAGATGACATCACAGAGTGGGGATGCCCTGGCGGGTTGGGGCATTGCCAAGGCAGAGGATGTCATGGTTATAACATCAGGTGCGATGCCATCGGGGCACGACAGGCCCATCTCTGAACATACGAGGTGGGGGAGAGGGTGCTGATGTCACTCCGAGCAAGAAGTGACCTCACAAGAGAGGAAGCGCATCACAGGAAATGGAATGGCGGAGGGAAAGTGACACAATGGTCAGTGAGGTGCAGGGAAGGACTGCCAAAGACAGGAAGCGACCACTACACTGGACAGCCATGACCCGCATGATGCCAAGCCAACACGGAGGAAGTGATGTCACGACAAACAGAAAATGACTGTGACACAACAGTAAATGCTGACAAGGAGGCAGGGATGCCACAAACAAAATGACACCACACAGGAAGTGACAACAATTCAAACAGTAGTGACACCATGAAAAGCAGGAAGTGACACATCGACAAACAGGAATTAACACATCAGAAAGCGACACCACGGCAAACAGGAAGTGCCGCCATGACACACCAACAAATGGCCACAAACAGGAAGTGACACCATGACGATGACAACACAGAGCCATGAACGGGACGTGACATCTCAACAAACAGTAACTGACACCATGAGACACCAACACAGGACCACAAACATGACGGACGCCACCGAAAGACCATCCACGAGAGGCCAGCAGGAGGAAGGGCCCGAGGAGACGTCCCCGTGCCCCACTTACGCCTCCATTCTGGGGGGTCTCTGCAGAGAGCACGGGCCCCAGCTCCGATGGCTCAGCTCCCTCAGGAAAGTCCTTATAGACGTACTCGTACTCCTGCCCCATCACGTACTCCTCCACAAGTACCTCGTCCTCACCCGGAGCGGCAGGGGCCGGGCTGGGAGCCTCCTGCCCCACGGGATGGGGGAGAAGCGGAGCAGGGAAGGGGAGAACGAAAAGAAACCCAGCAACACGTTAATGCACAGCACGGTGCCTACTGGGAGACAGGACCAAGGAGATGTGCTGAAACTGGATCCCCCAGAACTCCTTGACTCCCAGCCTCCTCTCTCCCGGCTCTAACCCATTAGACCCCATTCTCCACCCAGAGCTGGAGATAGAACCCAGGAGTCCTGATCCCCCAGTCCTGAATCCTCAGTCCTTTCCCCACAGACCCCTCTCTCTTCCCCCTGGAGCAGGGTCTCCATCTCTTCCATCATGGGATCAGCACAGAGGCAGCTCTCAGGGGGACCAGCCCTGAATAGCGTGGGGAGGCTTTAAGGCCCCACCCCACTGAGACAGATAGTGGGGCTGTGGAGAACTAGGGGGGAGCTAGACCCTAACCCTGGAGCCAGCTCAGCCCCGTTCCCCTTCCCATCCAGACCCTTAGCCACCCCCCAGTCCAACCCCAGGGCGGTTACCTCAGCCCAGGGCTCCGAGGGGGACGGGGGAGTCACCTCCAGCCCCATTGTCTCCTCCCAGTAGGCACCATCAGGGTCCTGGTCAAGGGGTAGGATATAATCCAGGTTCTTGCCAGCCCCCCAGGGCTCCTCTGTAGGGGACAGCCCCACATCCTGGGGGGTGGGGTTGGCAGTCACCAGGACCCGAGGGGAACAAGGTTGGAACAGCAGTCATGGGGGCCGGGGGAGAAAGATGGATGGATGGATGCGATGGATGGATGGATATGCATGAGGACAGATGGACAGATGGATGCAGGCCATGGATAGATGGATATACATGAGGACAGATGGATGCAATGGATAGATAAACATGCATAGGGATGGATAGACAGATGGACAGACAGGCAGATATGCACATGGATGGATGCAATGGACAAATGGAAGTGCATGGAGATGGACGGCGATACATGAGGATAGATTGACAGATATGCACAGGGATAGATGGATTAGAGGAGAGAGAGAAAGAGGACAGAAGTATTAGTAGGTTATTCTTGTTCTACCTCCTGGGGAAGGGGCAGGGGCAGCAGAACTGGATTCATCCCGGATCGTTTTCCCAGACACACGGAGACAAACCGATCGCTGATGGAATCGCACCACCCTGCAGCACCCCCTGCCAGGGAGCGACTACCCCTTGTCACTCAAGGAGGACTCGGGGTGTCCATTCACGGGAAAGAAGGTGCAAGATAAATAAACACAGAGAGAAAATGTGAGGGAAGTGGGACACGGGACCTTTCCCCTCTAGGGGGCACCGGCTCCAATCCGGCCCCAGGGCACGGACTGGCTGGCTCAGGGGGCAGGGAATGGGACACGGGGCCTGTCCCCTCTAAGGGGCGCTGGCTGAGATTTGTCCCTATGGGGGGCACTGGCTGGCTACGGGGGGCAGGGAATGGGACACAGGGCCTGGCCCTCTGAGATTCGGCCCCATGCGGGGGACTGGCTGTCTCAGGGGGGCAGGGAATGGGACACAGGGCCTGGCTCTCTGAGATACGGCCCCATGGGGGGGACTGGCTGGCTCAGAGGGGCAGGGAATGGGACACGGGGCCTGTCCCCTCTAAGGGGCGCTGGCTGAGATTTGGCCCCATGGGGGGAACTGGCTGGCTCGGGGGGGCAGGGAATGGGACACGGGGCCTGTTTCTCTGAGATACGGCCCCATGGGGGGGACTGGCTGGCTCAGAGGGGCAGGGAATGGGACACGGGGCCTGTCCCCTCTGAGATACGGCCCCATGGGGGGGACTGGCTGGCTCAGGGGGCAAGGGAATGGGACACGGGGCCTGTCCCCTCTGAGATACGGCCCCATGGGGGGGGACTGGCTGGCTCGGGGGGCAGGGAATGGGACACGGGGCCTGTCCCCTCTGAGATACGGCCCCATGGGGGGGAACTGGCTGGCTCGGGGGGCAGGGAATGGGACACGGGGCCTTCCCCACATTCCCTGTCTGCTGGTTTATTTACGTTGCCGAGGTGCTTCCCGAATGGCCCCGCCACCGACGGACAGACACGAGCGAGACGCACAGACTTGGGGGGCGGGGATGGGGTGGGGGGAGCATGCTCCCCCGCACGGATCTCAGATCGTGCTGCCCCCTCGGGGCGGTGCCCAGCACCGATCTGGATGCCTCGCTCTTGCTCTACCTGCTGGTAGCTGTTGCCGTGTTTCCTGGGCGCGCCGGTACCAGCGTAGGCCTTCCCCCCCGTCTGGGCCTTGCCCAGGGCATTTTTCACGGCCGGGTGTTTCCCCCCAGCTGCCATCTTGGCGTTGCCGGGGGACTTGGCGTTGCCGGGGGATTTGCCGTTGCCGGGGGACTTGCCGGGGGCTTTGCCGGGGGATTTGCCGTTGCCGGGGGCTTTCCCGCCGCCGGGGGCTTTGCCGTAGGCTGGGGCCGTGCTCATCAGCTGCTGCCGTTTCTGCTGCTTGGCTGCCGGCTTGGCGGGCGCCTTGCGGCCCGGCCCGGCGGGTTTCTGGTGCCGCAACGTGAGGAGGAGGAGGAGGAGGAGGAGGAGGATGGAGGTGATGAGGGTGAGGATGAAGATGGCAGCGACACACACACAGACCGGGAGCCGGGCACAGAAAGAAAACACAACACACAGGGCATGAGTTCACGAGGAGCAGGGGCGCAGGGGCTGCTGCTGCAGGGACCCCCCCGGTGTACGAAGCACCCCACATCCCTCAGGGTTGCCCCAAAGCCCCTCTGCCCCTGGGATCCAGATACATACAGAGCACCCCAAATCTCCAGGGGTGACCCCAGAACCCCCTCTCCCCTGGGGACCTGGATACATACAGAGCACCCCAAATCTCCAGGGGTCGCCCCAGAACCCCCTCTGCCTCTGGGGACCTGGATACATATAGAGCACCCCAAATCTCCAGGGGTTGCCCCAGAACCCCCTCTGCCTCTGGGGACCTGGATACATACAGAGCACCCCAAATCTCCAGGGGTCACCCAGAGCCCCCTCTCCCCTGGGGACCTGGATACATATAGAGCACTCCAAATCTCTAGGGGTCATCCCAGAGCCCCCATTGTCCTTGGGACCCCCATGTGTATGGAGCACACACCGGGATTCCCTCCCCTCTGCCCCACCCCCAGAGGCCCCATCAGCAGGTTACAATGTGTGGAGGGCATGGCTTGCCCCCCACTAGTATCCCCATTCCCTGCCCCCCAACCCGTGCCTCCCGCGCTCCTGCTCAGGGGGTGCAATGAAGCAGTGATGGATGGACGGATGGATGGATGGATGACACTGCCATGAGAGGATGAGACTCAGACACAACGGGAGCTGGGACAGACAGACGGACGTTGTGGGCGGAGCAGAGCCTGCCCCCCCCGGTTACCTGCTCCACTGTGCCCCCCGAAGAAGTGGGGAGGGACGCGTTCCCATCCTCTTTATTCCCGTAAGAGTCGGGGTACTCATAGTACTCCACCTCCTCCTCAAAGTACTAGGCGACAGGGGGGAGGGAGGGACGGTGGAAGGGGGGAAAGGAGGAGAACAAAATAATCATAACAGAAACCCACAGCGCGGGGAGGGTCAGGGGCTGGACCAGGGTGTGGGGGTCTGTCTGGTCCCCCCCACCCCAGTTCTTCCCCCCCCCCGGCTTCCCCACCCCTGGGCACCTCCCCCTCCCTAGGCCTGACTCTCAGCTCCCCCACTCAGGGCAGGGATGAGGGGGGGAGAACGGCCTTTAAACCTCCAGTTCTGGGGTTCACCCCCCACCCCACCGCAAGCCAGAGCAGCCTGCCCCGAGAAGGAGCAGGGCACGCTGGGAACACGGGGGCCGGGGGGCCCCGAGAAGGAGCAGGGCACGCTGGGAACACGGGGGGCAGGTGGCCCCGAGAAGGAGCAGGGCACATTGGGAACACGGGGGCGGGTGGCCCCATATGGGGGAGAGTTATGAGGGGCAGGTGGGAGGTCTGGGACCCTGAGATGAAGCTGGCAATGTTTCCCCAGGGGGCCAGTGCGGGGTCCCAGTGGATGGGTGGGGTCTGAGGGGCAGATTGGGGTGGGGGACCCTGAGATGAACCCGGCAGTGTCTCCTCGGGGGGTTTCAGGCTTTTTCCCTTTGAACCTGAAAACGTCAGTGAAGGACCAGCAGCCCCATATCCCCCCGAGATGAGCCCCACAGGCCCGACCAGCCCCGTAACCCCCCCGCCAGATCAGCCCCACAAGCCCGATCAGCTCCACGGGCCCATCCAGCCCCATATCCCCCACGAGATCAGTGTATCCCCCCGAAAATCAGCTCCCCGGGCCCACCCAGCCCGTATCCTCCCCAAGATCAGACCCAAAGGCCTGACCTGCTCGGTCTGCCCCATGTCCCTCACCTGGGGCCTGGCAGGTCTCTGCAGCGCCTCCTGTGCCTGGGGCAGGTGGGGCAGGGCAGGGCAGTCGGGGCTGTAGTGCTCACAGTAGTCGTAGGCCGCCTGGGGGTTCGGGGCGATGAGCAGCTGCTGGATGTCACCCTGCAGAGAAAGATGGGGTGATGGGGGGACGGGCACTGCTGGGCCTGGAGTCCCCACCCGCCACGAATGGGGAAAGGGGCCAGGGACGGAGGGATGGGGTTGGATGGAGGGGTGAGAGGGGATGGATCATGGATGGACTGCAGGGGATAGAGGGATGGGGGGCTGGAGGGAGGGGATGAAGGGATGGATCATGGATGGATGGAGGGTAGGGTGGATGGATGACTGGGTGGATGGACAGGTGTGTGGGAATGGAGGGAGGGAGGGAGGGTGGGGATGGAGGGATGGATTGGGGGGACAGAGGGATGGGTGGGTGGAAGGCTGTGTGCAGGGATGGATGGATGGATGGATGGTTGGAGGATTGGGTGGATGGACAGGTGTGTGGGGCTGGATGGAGGGACGGAGGGTGGGTGGAGGGGTGTGTGCAGGGATGGATGGATGGATGGATGATTGGGTGGAAGGACAGGTGCGTGGGGATGGAAGGAGGGAGGGAGGTGGGTATGGAGGGATGGATTGGGGGGACAGAGGGATGGGTGGGTGGAGAGGTGTGTGCAGGGATGGATGGATGGATGGAGGATTGGGTGGATGCACAGGTGTGCGTGGGGATGGAGGGAGGGAGGGTTGGGATGAAAGGATGGATCGTGGATGGATTAGGGGCATAGAAGGATGGATGGATGCATGTGGGAATGGATGGAGGGATGGATGGATTGGGGGATAGATGGAGGGGTGTGTATAGGGAACGAGGGTGGGAGGAGAGGCGTTACCCTGATACCATCCTGCTTCCCTATTGTGACCCCACCCAGAAATAACCCCCAATTTCCCCCCAAACCACCCCCAGGCACTGCCCCCCATTCCTCACACCCAGCCAGTCTTAGGGGAGACATGGGGGTCAGGCAGGGTCCCCATGGGCCGGGGGATGCAGGAAAGTCTGGGCCGGTACCTGGAAGACCTCCTCGTCGAGGATGCGGGTGCCAAAGACAGTGATGCCACGGGTGTCGATCACCGGGCGGGGGCCCCGGGGCAGCGTCCGCGTCACCTTCTTCTTACAGTCCAGGATCAGGGTCACGGACTGTCTGTGCACACTCAGTGCCAGCCGGTGCCACCTGGGGGCACAGACACGCCGATGGGAGGGGGCAGGACAGACAGACACGGGGGGAGACAGGACAGGAGGACGTGAGGGATGAAAAGGGGAGTCCTCCGGGGTTGGAGTCAGGTCGGTGTAGGGGGCAGAGGGTACCCATGAGCTGCAGTGTTGGGGGTCAGGGGTCGGCAGGTACCCACTTGCCGGCACTGAGGTTGATACCCGGGAAGAGTGGGGAGTCCTCAGGGGTGGGGTGGGGGGTGCAACGGTTTGGGGGTCAGGGGTCGGTGGGTACCCACTTGCCGGCACCGAGGTTGATGCCCCGGAACAGTGGGGAGTCCTCGGGGGGGGGGGTGCAGTGTTGGGGGTCAGGGGTCGGCAGGTACCCACTTGCCGGCACTGAGGTTGATACCCGGGAAGAGCGGGGAGTCCTCGGGGGTGGGGTGGGGGGTGCAACGGTTTGGGGGTCAGGGGTCGGTGGGTACCCACTTGCCGGCACCGAGGTTGATGCCCCGGAAGAGTGGGGAGTCCTCGGGGGGGGGTGCAGGGTTTGGGGGTCAGGGGTCGGCGGGTACCCACTTGCCGGCACCGAGGTTGATGCCCCGGAAGAGTGTGGAGTCCTCGGGGGAGGGTGCAGGGTTTGGGGGTCAGGGGTCGGCGGGTACCCACTTGCCGGCACCGAGGTTGATGCCCCGGAACAGTGGGGAGTCCTCGGGGGGGGTGCAGGGTTTGGGGGTCAGGGCTCGGCGGGTACCCACTTGCCGTCAGCGAGGTTGATGCCCCGGAAGAGCGGGTAGTCCTCGGGGGGGGGATGCAGGGTTTGGGGGTCAGGGGTCGGCGGGTACCCACTTGCCGGCACCGAGGTTGATGCCCCGGAAGAGCGGGTAGTCCTTGGGGGGGGGTGCAGGGTTTGGGGGTCAGGGGTCGGCAGGTACCCACTTGCCGTCAGCGAGGTTGATGCCCCGGAAGAGCGGGTAGTCCTTGGGGGGGGGTGCAGGGTTTGGGGGTCAGGGGTCGGCGGGTACCCACTTGCCGTCAGCGAGGTTGATGCCCCGGAAGAGCGGGTAGTCCTCGGGGGGGGTGCAGGGTTTGGGGGTCAGGGGTCGGCGGGTACCCACTTGCCGGCACCGAGGTTGATGCCCCGGAAGAGTGTGGAGTCCTCGGGGGGGGGGGGTGCAGGGTTTGGGGGTCAGGGGTCGGCGGGTACCCACTTGCCGTCAGCGAGGTTGATGCCCCGGAAGAGCGGGTAGTCCTCGGGGGGGGTGCAGGGTTTGGGGGTCAGGGGTCGGCGGGTACCCACTTGCCGGCACCGAGGTTGATGCCCCGGAAGAGTGTGGAGTCCTCGGGGGGGGGTGCAGGGTTTGGGGGTCAGGGGTCAGCGGGTACCCACTTGCCGTCAGCGAGGTTGATGCCCCGGAAGAGCGGGTAGTCCTTGGGGGGGGGGGTGCAGGGTTTGGGGGTCAGGGCTCGGCGGGTACCCACTTGCCGTCAGCGAGGTTGATGCCCCGGAAGAGCGGGTAGTCCTTGGGGGGGGGTGCAGGGTTTGGGGGTCAGGGCTCGGCGGGTACCCACTTGCCGTCAGCGAGGTTGATGCCCCGGAAGAGCGGGTAGTCCTCGGGGGCGGGCCGGCCGCTCTGGTCCTGGTAGAGGAAGACGGGCGAGCGCCCCAGCTCCACCCCCAGCTGCTGGGTGCCGTGCTGGTCGTACATGGAGAGCAGGAACCCCTGGGTCCCGGCCTTGGGCCTCACCAGGGCCATGATGGAGAAATCCTCCGGGAACTTCCCTGGGGAGACAGCAGGGGCTGTGGGACCCCGCGGGGGAGGCGGCGGGGGCTTGGGGGGCAGGACGCTGGGGGGTGCAGAGACAGCCCAAGGGCGATGTAGGAATGTTCCACTAAGGACCAGGGGCGGGGGGACATCCCAAGGGGGACACGGGAGGTGTGGGAACATCCCAAGGTGGCGTGGGAATGTTCCACTAGTGACATGGGGGTCACAGGAATGTTCCACGATGGACACTGGGGGGGTGGGAACATCCCAATGGGGCTGTAGGAAAGTGGGGGTGGGCACACAGGAATGTTCCACTAGTGACACGGGAGGTGCGGGAACGTCCCAAGGGGGTGTGGGAATGTTCCACTAGTGACATGGGGGTCACAGGAATGTTCCACGATGGACACTGGGGGGGTGGGAACATCCCAATGGGGCTGTAGGAAAGTGGGGGTGGGCGCACAGGAATGTTCCACTAGTGACACGGGAGGTGTGGGAACGTCCCAAGGGGGCGTGGGAATGTTCCACTAGTGACATGGGGGTCACAGGAATGTTCCACGATGGACACTGGGGGGGTGGGAACATCCCAATGGGGCTGTAGGAAAACAGCGGTGGGCGCACAGGAATGTTCCACTAGTGACACGGGAGGTGCGGGAACGTCCCAAGGGGGCGTGGGAATGTTCCACTAGTGACATGGGGGTCACAGGAATGTTCCACGATGGACACTGGGGGGGGTGGGAACATCCCAATGGGGCTGTAGGAAAGTGGGGGTGGGCGCACAGGAATGTTCCACTAGTGACACGGGAGGTGCGGGAACGTCCCAAGGGGGTGTGGGAATGTTCCACTAGTGACATGGGGGTCACAGGAATGTTCCACGATGGACACTGGGGGGGTGGGAACATCCCAATGGGGCTGTAGGAAAACAGGGGTGGGCACACAGGAATGTTCCACTAGTGACACGGGAGGTGTGGGAACGTCCCAAGGGGGCGTGGGAATGTTCCACGGGGGGCGCGGGGCCATGCTGTGAGCTAGGGGGCGTGGACCAGCCGCAGAGGCGGGGGGAGCCTGTGGGCAGGGCCCAGCTGATGGAGGACGCAGGGAGGGGGAACGTGCCGCAGGACAGGGAGGGGGTGGAGGATCCCATGCGGTTGGGGCGGGCGCACGGCCCGGTACCTGAGAAGAGCTGCCTGGTGGGGGCGCTGATCTGCGCCTGCCGTGATATCCTGTAGGCCACGTCTGGCCCCGCCCCTGCCCGCCTGGCGGGGCAGAACCCCGTCGTCTTCCGCACGCCGGCCGGCTGGGCCTGGAAGTGCAGCGCCTTCAGCACGTCCACCGGCTCTGCTGCGGGACACGGGGGGAGGAGGGGTCAGAGCTCTGCAAACAGCCCCCACCTCCCCGACAGGGGCCCCCTCCCCAGCCCCACAGAGCTCCCCAGTTCTGGGATCACATAAACTCACCCCCCAGCAGCTACCAGGGTCCCCCCCTCCAGCCGTGACTCCCATTCCCCGCTGAGCCTCTCCACATTCAGGCCCCACCAACCTATAAATCCCCCTCCCCATGAGAGACCTTCTGCCCTGGGGGCTGAGCTGTGGGGGGGTCCTGGAACAAGGTGGAGGAATGCCCCCAGAGCAGGCAGGCCTGGCTGCATGGAAGTGGGTGTCTGGGCAGCTCAGGGGGACTGGCCGTGGGTGCAGGAGATGGGATCCCCCTGCCCCGGTGCACTGGAGGCTGGCTATAAGACTCCTGGCTGGGGGCTCAGGGCAGGGGGCCCCTGACTGGGGAGCGGGGGGCTGGCAGGGCTGAGGAGGGGGTAGGAGTCCCCTCAGGTGCGCTGGCCAGTTCTATCCAAATTCCAATCTTCCCTCCCGGGACGCTCACAGAGACGGGCTTTTTCAGGCCCAATCAACAGGGTCTTTGTTCCCAGCCAGCGAGGGAGGGGGTCTGGAGGGTCCAGGGGAAAACACACACACACACACACACAGAGCAAGGGGGGCAGCGATTCACTCACACACCCCCGTCTCACAATCACACACACACCCTCCCAGGCACACCGCCTTTGCTGCCCAAACGCAGCCCCCCCCGCCTCCCGCAATGCCACCCCCCCCAATGCCCCATTGCACACGCAGAATGCACCCTAAGCAGGCATCCAGCCGGCTTCTCCTTCGGGCACGCGGCCCTCAGCACACACTGCCTCTCGCACACACACGCACCCTTTCACCCCGGCCCCTTCTCCGTTGCAAGCCCCCCCACTCCACAAGCACAGCTGCCTCCACACACCCCCCACCCACAACGGCACCCCCCATGTCAGGCACAATCACATGCCCGGCCTCACAGACGCACCCACCACGAGCTCACAATCCCCAGCTACACAAACCCCGTAGCACAGCGGCTCACCGGTATCACAATTACACACATACCCCCCACACACACACTTCACAGCCCTACAGATCCCATTTCACAATTGCACGCAGCTGGGTCACAATCGCGTGCGCACCCCGTTACACAATTCGCCCCCAGCTCCCAGTCTGCCCCCCGCCCCCTCTCAGCTGAGCTCAATATTCCACGCTGGACAGAAACAGAAGCCATCAGCTCCAGCCGGGCCTGGCTCATGGCCCACCCTCCCGCCCGCACCCCATACCTCAGGTGGGGCCGACCCCTCCCAGCCAGGGGCGAGGGGTGATGGGGGACAGCAAGGCCAGCCTGCATATGGGGGCGGGGGGGAGACGCAGAGGCGCTCAGACGGACAGACGGACAGGGACATGGACGGGTGACCCTCGCTCCAGCCAGGGCGGGTTTGTGAGGGAACGCCATCACCGCCCCGGGGTCTTGGGGTCAGGACCCTTGGGGTCAGGACCCTTGGAGGGAATTATCCCCCCTCCATGGGACACTGGCCACAAGGCGGAGCCCAGGCCTGCTCACTGGGGTCAAGGGTGGGCAGTGGGTGAGCCTGCCGGGTGGGGGCACTGACCCCCCAAGTACAGGGGCTGCCCTAGTTGGGGGGTGATGGAGCAGGGCTGGGGGCAGGGACCTCAGGGGGTACTGTGCTGTGAGTGACCCCACCCTCCCGCCCCGTCTGTCTGTCTGCGTCTCTCCACATCTGTCCCCCTCTCCCATTTTTCCATCCAGCCCCCATCTGGGTTTCTCATCAGCCCCATGTTTATGGCCCTGTTGTGAGGGCGGGAGCCCCATTTCTCCCCCCCCCTGCCCCGTTGTTCCATTCGGCGTCTGGCATCCATTAATATCCCCCGCAGGACACAGACAGTGAGACAGAGACCAGAGCCCTTGGCTCAGGGCACTGCCACGGGATCTCCAGCTGGGGGCACTGCTCCAGGGAAGTCTGCAGCGCCAGACTTCCCGGCTGGGGACAGTGTTGTGAGGGAGGCTCACAGCACCGGGGTCCCTGGCTGGGGGCACTGCCACGGGGAAGCTCACAGCACTGGTGAACTGGCAGGGGAGGGGAACGTTAGCCCCTGGCAGAGAGGATCCAAGCCCCCCCCCACACGCTCAGAGCCACGTCCCCAGCCGGGGTCCCCGGCCCCCCGGCCACACGCTGAGCTCGGTGCTGGCCCAGCCCCAGCCGGGAGCGCTGGCAGCCAGGCCACGCCAGCCGCACAGAGACACCTTTCTTCGGGCTGCCAGGCGGGCGCGAGGAAAAGCCATTAGGGCTGCATAGCTCAACTCCCCAGGGAGGGGTGGGGCGAGAATGGGGGAGGGGAGACTCCCCAGAGCCAGGGCTGGAATGGGGGGTCTGAGGGAGGAGACACTAGAGGAAGGGAGGGTTAAGGGGGGGTCGGGGGATATTGGCTGTAGAAAGAAGTGAGGGGAGAAGGGCCAGGAGCGGGGGGGGGAGGGAGAGGGCTCCAGTGGGGGGGTCACAGCGTGAGGGTCGGGGGGGGGCTTATTCCCATGGAGGAGGAGCAGGAGAGAGGGGTGGGGGGGGTCAGGTGGAGTGGGAGGGGCCAGACAGGAGAGGTCACAGTGGGGGGTCAGGAGGAGGGGAAGTGGGGGGCAGGTGGAGAGGGGAGCAGAGGGGAAGTGGAGACAGAAGGAGGAGGCAGAGGGGAAGGGAAATGTGGGGCAGGTGGAGAGGGGCAGAGGGGGGGAAGTGGGGGGCAGGGGGAGGGGCCTGGGCAGCAGAGAATGGACCCTTTATACGAGTCACTTCCTCTGATTGAACCACGAGCTTCCCAGCACAGAGGGCCGTGGCGGGGTGGCAGGCTTGGGACCGGACGGGGTCACTTGATCCTGCCAGCGACCGCACAACCCACAGCTCCCCCCCCAGCTGCCCTGGCTCCCCCCGGCCCTGCCCCCCCATCTCCCCCCCAGCTGCCCTGGCTCCCCCAGGCCGTGCCCACCCCATCTCCCCCCCAGCTGCCCTGGCTCCCCCTGGCCGTGCCCACCCCATCTCCCCCCCAGCTGCCCTGGCTCCCCCGGCCATGCCCCCCCATCTCTCCCCCAGCTGCCCTGGCTCCCCCCGGCCGTGCCCCCTCCCCATCGCTCCCCATGGCTCTGGTGCAGGCTTGGCTGGGACGGGACATATTTGTGGCAAGACGCAGGGACCTGCCAGTCCAGCGGCTCCTGGGAAAGCGATTAGTTCCCCGCCCCACACCTGCTACTCCCATGCACCAGCCCCACAGCTGCACTGCCCCGGGGTGGGGGGCAGGGTCCCTGCACAGCCCCATGGGGGGATCTCTGGGGGACAGGGCCCTGAGCATCTGCTGGGGACGCGCAGGAGGCTCTGCCCCGAACCAGCCGGAGGTGAGCAACCTTGGCCCCCACTTCTGAAAATCCAGCCACGGCTCATCCCACCGTCTGAGAGTGTCCATCTGTCCTGTTCCCCCAGTCACGCCGTGTCCATCTGTCTCTCCTGGTCCCAGGTCCCACCATGTCCGTCTGTCCTGGTCCCAGGTCACGCTAGGTGACAGCCAGTCCAACCCCACCACTCCACACGTGCCAGCCATCCCAGAATGCCTCGGGGCCACAATCCCCCGGGGCAGCCACTGCTCCCCTCCCCAGCCTCTCAACTCTCTCCCAACATATCCCTGGCCCCCACCATCCCAGGGGGGGACCCAGTGCGCCCACCCCACCGCCGCATCCCAGGGGGGACCCAGCATGCCCCACCCCATGGCTCCATCCCCGGCCCCCACCATCCCGGGGGGACCCGGCGTGCCCCAGTTCCACACCAGCAGGTCACCAAAGCAAGGATCCCGCAGCATCCTATAAATTCCAGGGCACACTGGCTCTTCCCAGGCCCCAGAGAGCGACCGGCAGAGCCCTCCAGTGCCCCTCCCCGGAGCACCCTGCTGCCAGGGTGGGGACAGACAGAGAGACAGGCTGGTATCTGGGGCCGGTGACCCCATACAGGACACCCAGCTCCACTCCCTGCTATGACAGACCCTCCCCAGTATCAGCTGCCCACATCCCCCAGCAGCACCCATGGATAGAAGCCCCCCCTCCACCCCTCTTGTATAGGATCCCAACTCTTCCCACAGAGCCCCCCCTCCCCCAGGATCTTGGCTCTGCCCCGCTCAACTGCCCCCGCTCTGATCCCCATGGCCACCCCCATATAAGGTCCTGTCTCTGGTCCCACCCCCCAGCCTCTGTCCAGCAAAGTCAGGGCTTGTGCCCCGGTGTCTGTTTCTCCCCCTACCCTACACACACCACAGCTAGATCTGGCTACCGCGCCCCCCACCCCAGAGGTGGCTGCATTTCAGGAACGCTGGGTCCCCAGAGAGCCGGGGGAGGGGCGCATTCCCATTGCCCAGAGGCCCCACACAGAGGGAGACATACCCCCAATCGGGGGCAACCGGAGATTGCCTAGGCAGGCAGGCAGGGACCCGGGCACAGAGAAAAGCAGTGCCACCTGGGGACAGACTGGGGGGGCAGACACTAGGACCTAGGGATGGACAGACAGCGGAGCGGGAACCTGGAGCCAGATGGGACAGACAGACAGCGTGACCCGGGGGACAGGACAGACAGCCACAGCGGGACCTGGGGACAGACAGGACAGAGGGACACGCAGGGACACTAGGCTCTGGAGTGGATGGACAGTCAGACAGCCATCTGGCGGGGGGCAGACATAAAGCTGCCCCCACCCCTTGGTGATAGCTCCCCTCCCCCAGCTCAGTGCTATATGAAAGGCTCTCAGCCCCCCAGGCCAGGTGGGGCAGGGCAGGAAGCGGGGGCTGAAGGGCCCCTTTCTCTGCCGCCCACGGCCCCAGGGGTCAGGGCAGGGGCTGGCAAACCACAGGAGAGCATGGCTCCTGCCACAGGCCGCTGGCTGGGCCCCCAGACATCAATGCACTGAGACAGCCATTCACACTGCTATGCTGGCCCCCACC